CAGTAGGGTAGTTCAGATAAGACGTTATGAATAAACCTTTGAAAAGTGCTAGGAGCATTTCGTAAGCCAAAAGGCATAGCATTGATTCGTACAGGCCAAATGGCGTTATAATTGCTGTTTTAGGTTTATCCTCTTCAGCAAGAGGAATTTGGTAAAAGACAGCGTGTAAATCTATTTTAGAAAAAATATTTTAATGCCCTAGGATTTCACTAACATCTTCAACCCTAGGCACTGGATAACGGTCTGGTATTGTGCGAGCATTGAGGGCCCGATAATCGCCACATGCGCGCCATTGAACGTTTTTATTGATTGTAAGTAAAAGAGGACTGGCCCACTGTGATTTAGATGGTCTCAGGATACCGTGATTTAATAGGAATTGGAATTCATTTTTTGCAATTTTTAATTTTTGAGAGTTTAGTCGACGTGGTTTACAGTAAACAGGGGGGTCCACTGGACGTACAGATATAATGTTGAACATTATGTGTCACTTTGGAAGGCATTAAATTAGGTTTTGTAAGATCTGGATAATTTTGTAATAACTGGGAAAATTAATTGGTTGTTTTTATAGAACTAACTGTCTTCAGCAAAATGTATGTCAACTGAAGCAACGACAGTTAATTTCGTATTATTATCTATTAATTTTTTATTTTTTAAATCTATTAATAAACCAAGCTTACAGAGAAAATCCGCACCTAATATTGCCTTTGATGTTGTGGCTATAAAGAAAGGCCATTCCATATTGCGCCGGAATCCTAAATCAATGTTAGTGTATTTGGGTACCATAAGTCGGTATCTCGGCACCATTAGCGGCATATAATTTGAAGTCAGTTGGCGTCTTCTGCTTAGTAACTGGAATTACTGAGACGTCCGCACCACAGTCCACAAGAAATTGTATGCCTGAGCGGCGATCTTTTACGATGGTGACGGCCTGGTGATACATTACAGGCAGCGCACTCGGCCGTTACTCTTGTTCTTCAACCTCCATGGGATTGATATCTAGCCCTTCTTGCGCTTTAGGTACCTTTGGTGCTCACGGCTGTCTTTTTCCATTTATCCTAGTACGTACTTCCAACAATTGAATTTTTTCTATGCGTTTCTTTTCTAATTCTTCTATTTTATATACTCATTCTTTCAGCTAAACTTTTGACTGGGGATATGGACTTTCCTTCTTTGCTAGCTGCAGTGCTCTTTAAGTCATCAGCTATTTTCGTTAAAGACGGGGTTAGCTCGCTTACTACAGCGTCAACCATCGATTGTTTTAATGGCGTCACGACTCAGGAGATCGCGCGACTCGTGAACGCATGGACGTGGTTTTGTCAGACAAGTCTGATGTGGGCATTCCTCAGCATTTATTGCAGGCATTGTACAGACATCAAACGCCCGCGCTGACACCCAGGACCCCCATTTGGCCCCCGAGTCCTCTCAATCAGCAGCCTCACTTGCAGCAGTCGCTAACGCTACATACTCTGCTTCCGTTGAGGGTAATGCTGCAGAATGTGCTGAGACACTCCATGATACGGTACATCCATATACATGAAATAAATAACCAGTAGTTGATTTTCTTGATTTCTCGTCACCAGCCCAGTCTTAGTAAACATAGTCCCTTAAGATGGGTGACTCTGGAGATTTTCTGTGCAGTAATTTTAAACAAGATGTACCTTTGATACAGCGTAAAATTCTTTATAACATCTTCCAAAGATTTTCATTAGCATGACTTTGATAACGGCTAACTAGATTTAAGGATACTGAAAGATCAGGTCGGCTGGCTGCCTAAAACACAATACATTAGACTGCCTATAACTTGTCTGCATTTGTAAATAAAATTCTCATTTTCTGTGGATTCTTTATATATACCTTTGACATTTGTATCCATTGGTGTCTCTGCTGGTTTACATTACTCATTCCATATTTTTCAAGTACTGATGTTATATACTCATTTTGGTCAATTGTTATTTTACCTTCTAATAAGTTTCTGATAATCTTCAGTCCCAAGTATTTTAAATCACTGTTGCCATAATCTATCATTTTAAATGTATCGTTTAATTTAATTTTGAAATTCTTAATTTCTTTCTCATTTGAACCAAATACATCGTCTACATACTATAACATAAATAAAGTCTCTGCCTTCCCTGGTAACGACCATAAAGGTAATAGTCAGATTAAGATCTCTTAAGATTTTCTTTTATCATAAAAAGATTAAATTTACTATTCCAGGTTTTAAAACTTCGAAGATCATACTGTGACCGTTGTAGCTGTAGTACTTTTCCATCTTGTTTGTAGTTGTTTTGTCATTCCATCTGGTTTCCTTATATATACCTCTTCTTCAATTTCTCCATTTAGAAATGCACATCCATTTGATGTATCTGAAGGTCTAAATTTGTTGCAACTGCACTACTGTCGGTAGTATAGCTACTGGGGCATATGTTACTTCTTCATTTAAACCCTGCTGAAATCCCCTAGCTACTAACGGAGCTTTATATAGTTTCTGCTGACCTCTAACCCCTTTAGCTTTTTTAGCCAATCTTTCTATAATTTCTTTACCTGGAGGTAGATCTACTTCAATCCATGTATTATTTTCTTTTAATGAATTTAATTCTGTGTTTAATAAATTGTATGGCTTCGAATTTTCTGATTTATTGTCAACAAAAATCACATCTCTGGCTATCACTACAGATTTTTCTTCTGGATAATTAATGCGGTATGCCGTTCCTTCTTGAGCATATCAAACAAGAATACCTTGTTTGGCTTTGTAATCCCTTTTATGTCTTTTTTGTTTTGGTATGTGTATAAAAACAGTTGATCCAAAGTTTTTAAGATGTCTAATATCAGGTTTGCATTGAAACCATAGTTCATAAGGGTTTTTCCTTTTATTGAACTTGTTCCAGTCAAGTTTAAAATATATGCTGCACAGTTAACACCTTCTGCCCAATAAAACTTTTCCATTTTGTCATCTGCCATCATTGACCTGGCTGCTTCTACCACTGTCCTCATTTTTCTTTCAATTTTCCCGTATATGGTACTGTTGTTTGGTGTATTATCCCATAATTTTTAAACATGGTTGGTTACTTCATTATTTAAAAATTCTGTTCCATTGTCTGATCGAAAAATTTTAATTTTTTCGTTTTTATGATTTTCAATTAGCATGAGAAATACTTTCAATTTACCATAAATTTCCGATTTTCTTGAAATGAAATTACAAACCGATAATGTGAAGCATTATCTTTCAGAAGGAAAAAATATTTTACTCCTCCAACACTTGGTACTTCCATAGGACCACACAAATCTGCATGACCCATATCAAGTATCTCCTTATGGGTAGTGTTAGTTATCTTGAAAGAGTAATGTTTCTGTTTTCCTAATATACAAGCTTCACATCATATATCATCATTTTCCCATTTTAGGTTTAAACTTGACAGTACTTCTTTGATAGGATTGATATTTTGATTCGTCCCACCTGGTAGCAGAGCGTGGTTGAATTCATGATTATGTTTGGAACTACTGGACCATGTTTTTTTAATATCTTTGAGAATAAACTATGTCATTTCATTCTTGCGGGCTTAACCGAGCTACATAATCAGGATTCCATGAGTCCTTCCATAGTGAGACACGAGAGTGTAGACCACAATGGTAAAGAAGTGATGTTTGAGTTAATCTACAGTTATAAACTGTTAAATTCACTAATTTCGTGGTCCGCTTGACCAATTAATACTTTACAATTAATTAAGGTTTTTTGTTGAGATGAAAAAAAGTTAATGGCACGAGAGGGATTGAAAAATGGCAAAAGGAGGGAAAACTCACAAGGTGGGGTTGAGATGAGGAGTTGATGTCCGAGTGGATCGAGGTCACGATAGCTCAGGTGGTAGAGCAGCGGCGTATCTAGCCGAAGGTCGTGGGTTCGTATCCCTCTCGTGCCATTAATTTTTTTTCATCTCAACAAAAAACCTTAATTAATTGTAAAGTTATAAACTGTATTGGAGGCATAATTTTTCCTAACTAACACGGTGGTGACGTGTTGATTTTCAGGCACTACTTTTGAAGTTTCCTGTGCACAGTTGGCTACACTGTAAGCTGATATAGTTGTTATGTTTGTCGTTGGTGAGCTGCAATCATAGCCAGTGACTATGATTGTTGATCAGAGATTGCAGTATCAAAGATAGGAGCAGGGTTTGCTGATACTAGTACTAGATTAATTACTATTAACAATACCGTGGTATATGACATAACTAGTTTTTTGGGTGCAAACGACCAAAGACGATGACTGTACTATATCTATGTACTATACATAACAATGTACGCCGAAAGACCTTTTCAAAGTCATCCCACTTTGCCCATAATGTATGATTTAACCGATACCAATTAAGGGGGATGCCTTCTAAAAATTCGGGGAGGCATGTGAAAAGAGTAGCATCGGGTATAGCGTAGGATTTCTTTTTTCACCTATTCTAAGAAGAAAATCGACAGGGCTTAATCCACACGAGTTATTGTAAACACTTATTCAACTTAATCATTTTATTTGAAAGGCAAAATTTTTATGTACATTGGCTAGAAAGCAGTGGACATACGCACATGTAGGAAAACATACATTTTGAAAGTAACCTTCTCATTGAAAACTAGCGAAATAGGTACTAGCGTTTGGCGCAGGCTCACGGGAATATGCTGTGGAATCAAATTGATCGAATGAAGGGTTACTGAGTGGGATTGAAGGAAGGGACTGTACACTCTATGGGGTGGTTGCACGTGAAGGAGGATTGAAGGAGGAGTTCTTTAATACCGAATGACCATTCAGGGTCCCCATTTGTCCCTCAAAATCATATATCATTAATGGCTTTCTTGGCAAACATTTCCTGTTGCGGATCCATTTTTCTGAGCTCTGCTGCCCAAGCTGCAGCAATTTGGTCTCTATCATCTTGTGGTTGTTGAAGGCGCTGGCAAGCCATTTTCACCAACTCCTCAGAAGGATCTTGAGGTCCACGTTTCTTCTTCATCTTCTTTCTACAAGGTGTTGTTGGGAAAAGGTGGAATTAGTTTAGAAAAACAGTCTTAAACAAGAACAACTATATTAAACACGAACACAAGAAATAACAATACACAAAAACATAATAAACATAAAACGTAATTAAAACCTCCACTTAAGACCGTGGCGCCACATCCGTAGGCCATCGTACAACAATACATGGTCTTACATTCGGCCATTCTGACATAAAAATCAACCTTGACTTTACCATACATATATACTTCGACAATCACATAATACAGAACATAATTAAACATAAGTATAACATTATAATAAGTATGACATAAGTAACGAAGAGCATAATGGTTTCCATATAACATAAACAAACGTAACATAAAAAAGTACAAACTAACATAACTCAAAACATTAACTAAAATAATCCAAAATAAAAAACATAAACTTTTTTTTAACATGTATCATCATTTATTTAGATAAGGCTTAATGTGGTCTGGTGAATGGATGCCCTCATATGGATTACGTCCAACTTGAAAAACCATCAACTTCACTTATAACAAATCTATCGTTTGGTAATATATGTTTAATTTTATATGGTCCCTTAAATTTCGGTGATAACTTTGTATTTATACCAGGACAATTGTCGCGGTCAGTAATGACAACCAAATCTCCTTCTTTATATTGATTGACTCCTTTTCTCTTGTGGTCGTAGAGCTGCTTCTGGTGGTCTTGAGATTTCTTAATCTGTACATTTGCCTCTTGACCTAGATCTCTTGTGTTTTCGATGCATTCTGCTAGTTCTTGCACGATTGGCCCAAGACCATCTAAAGGTGTGCGGGCCTGATCTACTCCAAAAAGCAGTTTAAATGGTGTTGATTTCGTGGAGTTGTGTTGAACATTGTTCAGTGAATATTCTACCTTGCTCAGTTTCAAATCCCAGTCATTTGCGCCGTTAAGTTTTCCTAACATGGCCGTCAACACTGTTCACACGCTCGACCTGGCCATTTGCACGAGGCGTGGCTGTAGCCGTCAATACTGGTGTAACGTTATGGTCCCTTAAAAAATTCGTGAACTCAGCCGATGTAAAGCATGATCCCCTGTCTGATATAATCCTTCTTGGCGGGCTGTATGCTCTGAAATAGTCAGTAAGATGCGTGATTACTTTTGCAGTCGTTACCGTACGGCAAGGGTATAATCGAATAAATTTAGTAAACGCATCAATAACAACTAAAATGTATTTATGCTTTCGAAAAGTTGTTTAAATTGGCCCATAATGATCGATGTGGATCGTATCAAACGGAACGCACTCCCCTAGGCTACTTGCACACACACCGATTTCGGACGGCCGGTAAAAAATCGGCCGATATTTTACCGGTAGCAGGTGCTGGCACACTACCCGGATTTTTACCGGTCAAACAGTCAGTTCCATTCCAGTCACGACGTAATACGTAATAATGAATCCTAATCGAGTAGCTGCAATGTGGTTATTATACCGCCGTATTAAACGCCGTAGGATTAAGCGCAAGTACTGGATTCATCCGATCAATCGAAGCAGAGAACACACGGCAACATTCTACACTCTTTTTGAAGAATTAAGACATGATGGTAGTAAGTTTTTCAACTTCTTCAGAATGTCTATTGCATCCTTTGACGAACTTCATGAGAAGTTGAAAAATGAAATCCAACATCAGAATACTAAAATGAGAAACTGTATCCCTTCACGAGAAAGGCTTGCTTTAACATTGAGGTAAGTAGTAAACAATATAATATAATATAATGCTTTCTCTCAGTAAAATTTTATTAATGTTCCCAATGTACTAAATAAATATACATAACCACAAGATGCCTACCACAATAAAACAAGAAGTCCAAGCAATTTGATATTATTTGTAACCATTTTTTTTAAATCACTTTTTTAACTAATATGAAATTATGAGAAGTCGTAAGTGGTATCTGATCCAGCTGGGGAGGGGCTCGCTGATGGAAAGGTCTCTGGAGATGTTCTGCCAAATTCTTCGTGTGCCAAATATTGTGCAGTCGTTTGCCCTTGCGGATGTTTAACTGCCTTCCCTTTTGAAGAGCAGGCCTGCTGTTGGTTTGAATCGTAGTTGTGACTCTGGGGATATTTGAATTGGTGGGACTGATAGGTTTGGGGCTCTTGTGGTTTGAAGCTGAATTGATTGGAATAAGACATTTGTGAAGGGGGAAATGATTGATGCTGTGGAAAGGGATAATTGCTAGGATAGTAGAAAGGTGTTCCCCGTGGAAGGAGTTGAGGTTGAGCAGTGTTTTTTGTTTGTTTTTAATTTTGGAAATCACTTCCAATACACCCATTTGAAATTCAAGAACTTCGCTATCGTCGAACTTGTTTAAATGTGGCAAAAGCCCTTGAAAAAATAAAATGTGAGGACTAAGTGAAGGTTCTTCTAGTGCTTTAATAATTTTCATCTCCACCTCATCCGGCTGGCGACGTCTTTTGTTTTCTCGAGGTTTGGGGTTCTCCTTGGGGGGTACTGTGGCTCCTGGTAAAGCATCAACATTTTCGTCTTCATTGTTTTCGGTTCCACCATCTAAACTGTCTACAACTTCCCTCGTTTGAAACAATTTATTTAAAAATTGCATTTGCTCAGCGTAGACGTAGTTTTTAAATGTACGGGCACCAGCTCCACTTTTCTTTGACTCTTTCAGCTTCCTCTTTGACTTTGAGAAAGCATCCCGAAGGTTTCCCCATCTCTTTGTTACTTCTTTTCCTGAAAAATTATATATAATTAGTGTTTAAAATTGTAAACATCTTCATAAAGCATGATAGTGACACTACACCAATTTTGTTTCTAGATATCTTGCTAGTGGGTGCACCTTTACCGACCTACATTACTCGTTCAGAGTTGGGATTTCTACTGCAAGGAAAATAGTAAAAGAAGTATGCCAAGCCATCTGGTTAGTTATGAAGAATGAGTGTATACGTGAACTCTCTAAATATCAACTGGAAACCATTGCTTCTGATTTTGAAAAAAATGCCAATTTTCCACATTGCATAGGTGCTGTTGACGGTAAGCACGTTCGTATAAATTGCCCAATAAGAAGTGGTTCCATGTTTTTTAATTACAAAGACTATTACTCTGTAGTATTAATGGCAGTAGCTGATTCAAAATATCGTTTTGTGTATGTTAATGTTGGAAGCTTCGGCAAAGATTGTGATCCCTCCATTTTCAAGCAATCTACTCTTTGGCAATCAATTCAGACAAACTCAATACAATTACCTGAAGAAAAATGCCTGCCGGGGACCGAATCTCCTAAAGTTCCTTACTATTTTGTTGGAGATGAAGCATTTGGTCTCCACACACATTTAATGAGGCCCTACGGTGGAACACACCTAACGCTTGAAAAGAAAATATTTAACTATCGTTTGTGTAGGGCTCGGCGTTATGTCGAGTGTGCTTTTGGGATATTGAGCAACAAATGGCGCATCTTCCACAGACCTATAAACGCTGAACCAGAGTTTGCAGTTGACATTGTAAAAGCGTGCATTGTTCTGCACAATTTTGTTCGTGAGCGGGACGGTTATTTGCCAGAAGATACTACAACAATAAGTGGTTTGGAAGATTTGCCAAGAGCTCCAACAGCACGGGGTGGTCTACAAGCTAACGACGTTCGAAAAATATTAAGTAAATACTTTGTAACACCTATCGGGGCAGTTCCCTGGCAAATGAGTAAAGTATAATAGACATGAGTAGTGAAAAGGGGTGATAAGTTTCAATTTGTTGAGATTGTTGGGTACATTTTCAGCTTTTGTTAAATAGTTTATATAATATTCAATTATTATTTTATATGTTTAACAAGTCATGTATTGTAAACAAGAAATTAGGACAATATAACATAACATACAGAAAATTACTTACCAAATGCATTTTTTTCCTTATCCTCCATATCCTCAAAATCGTTTCGCAAAGAGCTCAAAACTGTGATACTTTGTCTCTTCCTTAGTCGTCCTTCGACTGAAGTAAAATACCTGATGAAATTTACCACCTTCCTTTTGTTTTTGCATGAGTACAGCACCAAACCCTTGAGAGCTTGAATCACAGTGAAGTTCTGTCGGAAGTGCAGGATTATAAATTGTGAGAACTGGTCTTTCGGAGAGTTTTTGCTTAAGCAAATCGAACGCCTTCATTTCTTCATCACCGAATCTAAACGCGACGTCCTTCTTGAGTAGGGCATAAATTGGTGCAACAATTTCAGAAAATCCACAAACAAATCGTCTAAAATATGAGGTAAGGCCTAAGAATCGCTGAACATCGTGAACGTTCGTAGGAACTGGATAATTTATAATTGTATTAACATTTTCCGGATTCGGTCTTATTCCATCTTTATTCACATGGTATCCTAAATAAATAATTTCCTTTTGCAAAAAAAAAAAAACATTGTCCATTCTTATAGTTCTAATTTATTATCGACGAGGAGTCGTAAAACTTTCCCTAAGATGTGCAAATTGTCTCCAATTGTTTTAGTTGCAATTAAAATATCATCAAAATACAAAAGTACCTCACTTTTATCTATTAGAGGTTTAAAAATTGATGAAAGGAAACGTTGGAACTGCGCTGGCCCGTTACAGAGCCCAAACGGCATTTTTGTAAACTCAAACTGACCAAACGGTAGGACAAACGAAGTGTATTTAATCGAGACTTTGTGCATTTTAACATGGTAGTACCCATTTTTTAGGTCCAAAAGGGTGAAATATTCTTTATCTTTGAGAGAATCAAGTTGATCGTCAACTAACGGCAAGGGAAATCTATCCTTCCGGGTAATTTTATTGAGTTCCCGATAATCAATACACATTCGATATTCTCCATTCTTTTTCTTGAAATGCTAGGTCTGATAACACCAGACCTAAGCAAGTCGTCAGTGATTTCTTTCGCAACTGTCTTTTCGTTGATTGACATCCTTCTTGCATTAAAAAAGAACGGCTGGTTATGAACAAGAAAAATATTCATTTCGTAATTTACATTTGGTTCCGCTGGTCTAGGGGCGCTAAAATAAAATTTTTCAACCGTGTCAATCAGTTTCTGTTTGCTGGAGTAGTCCAAACTAGAATCGATATTCAGGTTGTCATTATCTTTACAAATGTTAAAAATTTCGATATCAAAAATATCTGGTTTCTCCAGTTCATTTTCAGAATTTCTGTTATTCTCAGCACAAGTTTCAGAATCGCCAATTTTTGAAATCTTAATGCCTTTTCCTTCCGAAAATTGTCCCATTGTTATTGAAATTTTGGAATTAAAAATGAAGTCTCTTCCAATGCAGCAAACGTTATTGATCCTTCTGGTACAACATGAAACATTATTTTTATTTTTACATTCTGGACACTTATTTCGGACTCTAACGTACCTACAACCTTTAACTGAGACATATTAACGCCAATGAATGTATTTAAGGGTGGTGGTTGTAAGTTTACAAAACCAGGTACACAGTCAGCAGATAATATTGAAATTGGACTGCCCGAATCCAGCAATGCGTTCATTTTAGCATTCATACTTATTTTCTTTGACATATCATTAAATACAATTTCCATAATTATCTAAGATTGTCTCTCCTCGGATTTTTCCTGAAAATTAGGTTGAGAGTTTTATTACCGGAAGTATTTTTCATTCTGCTTGGGCAAGACGCTATGTGGTGGTCCTTGGAGCCACATTCATAGCAGCTGCCCCTTTCTCTCTTTGGTTTCTTACAGTCTACTGCTCGATGGCCCAAGCTTCCACAATTATAGCAATTCAATTGGCTCATAGTTTTGTCAGGGGGCTTTGACATAAAACACTCATTTTTTATTGTCACACTCATTTTTAAACCTGGCGATAATCCGAACATGCTCTTACTCTTTATAGACTGAAAGAGTTGAAGATTTTTTCTAAAATTTTGCAAATCGGTCGAGCCATACAAAATTGTTTTGTTAAACGGCTTATCGGGAATGCCGTCTGACACGTACCGAATTAAACTCCCTTCATCGATGTTTCTTCTAGTAGCAAGCTCATTCATTGCCCAAAAATACTCGTAAAACCCTTCATTTCTCTTTAGTTTCCTATTTTTTAGTAATTCATGAACATCTGCATCTGATAACTTTCGGGAAAATTCATCTAATAGAGCTTTTTTTAAGAGATTTCCAGCTTGTTAGTCTTCTTTCGCTCGAAACAAAAAGTTTAGCTGGTCCAGATAAACTCTTTTTAGCATAAACTAGGCTCTGGAGGTCGGTCCAATCGAACATTTTAGCATGTTCCTCAAAATTTGTAATCCAAAGTTCAACCGGAATTTCGTATTGGCCATTAAAAACATCAATTACATCCTCAAAATCCCTATACGTAAAGATCGGTTGTGCCGATTCATTTTTATTCTTAAACATTTACTGGCTTGGCTTAAAACTTAAGACCGTGGCGCCACATACGTAGGCCATCGTACTACAATACATGGTGTTACAGTGTATACTTCACCTAGAAAAAAACAACAAACAAATAAATGAATAAATAAATAAAAAGTTTGCTTTATAATATCGTTATTCTTTGTTCCAGTTAACAACTAGCGAAGAAGAATGGAAACAAATCGCGCAAGATTTCTACGATCAATGGAATTTCCCAAATTGTCTGGGTGCAGTCGATGGGAAACATGTCGCAATAAAGAAACCCCACAATTCTGGATCACTTTATTTCAACCATAAAAAATTCTTCAGCATTGTGATGATGGCAGTCGCTAATGCGAATTATGATTTCATCATGGTTGATGTAGGAATAAACGGGCGAATATCGGATGGCAGTGTAATGAGTTACACCAAGTTCGGACAAGCGCTTGAAGACAAGACACTGGGAATTCCGGAACCTGCACAACTGCCGAGGAGTCAGAAAGTATTACCATTCGTTTTTGGGGGAGTTTGAACGTTTTTGCGTTTTCGCAATGAAAGAAAATTTTATGAAACCCTACCCTCAAGCAGGATTAAATGTGGAGAGAAAAGTTCACAATTACCGATTGAGTCGTGTAATCGAAAATGTCTTCGGGATTTTGGTCAGCAGGTTTGGAGTATTACAGCACCCAATACAGCTGTCTCTAGAAAAGGCTCGAATAATTGTCTTGGCATGTTGTTATTTACACAACTTTTTGCGAAAACGCCGACCACGAGTACATAACAAGAAATCTCGTAGATAGTGAGAATTTGCAGTCCGGTGTTGTCGAGAGCGGATCATGGAGGGATGTTGTAAATGAGACAACACCACTTCAGCCTAACAGTTCCTCGAGGAACGCAACAACTAGTGCTAAATTGGTCAGAGATGCCTATTCTGATTTCTTCAACAATGAAGGCCAGGTTTCATGGCAATGGAAAATTGTAGGTGTACCAGCCTCGACTAACCATTGAAAATAGCATACCTTTCCTCAAAAATGTGAAACTGTGAAGCGAAAAAGTTGATTTGATTTTGCAAAATATGTAATCATAAGTTGTTAATTTAATTTCATTCATTATAATGAGTTCATGTGTATGAGAAACGTAAGGAAAATTAATAAAATTATTATATTAAATTATCATAAATAAAATTAATGAAAATGAATATATTATAACTTACTGTGGGGTCGTCCAAATCCTCATTGTGATCCACCACATCAATACTCGAATCCGAGATGTCTAACGTGCTGACGGAAGCAGTAGGTGTTTCGTGATTTGCAAGGAACTTCATTTCTTCTATGTGCCAAAGCGAGGGTTCGACATCCTCCGCACTGGCACCACTTCTTTCAGCATCCCTAATACATTTTAATTTTTTGCGGAAGTTGGTCCGCAAAGAATTTATTTTTTTGAATACTTGTCTGTCTGCTATTTGGCAGGGGGCTGGGTATTTTTCGCGATATTTTTCTAATAGAGCATCGTACTGCTCTCCTTTCTTGGCTCGGTTACAGTAATCTTACATTTAACACCCAAAGAGCGGGAAGGCCATGATACATTTCAATAAATTCCAAAACGAATTGTTTTTCCGCACTCTTTTCTCCCATGGTGATGCGAACTGCACCACTTGTTGATACTTCACAAACTGACTAATATTGCGCAATAATGCCAACAGACGGTGCAATATTTTCCAGGTTGTAATATATATTTTCAACTTTTCGTCAATCATGCAATGTATTGCACAAACTTTCAATATCGTCTACACACGATCAATTAAATTGCACAACCCAAAATTTCAATCATAACATTTAACCACGGATGGGTCTGTGACCATGAGTAAACCGTTGGCCTCGGTTGACTCCACAGTAGCCGAAGGTATTGGAGTACAGCAATTAGCAGAGGGACAGCAGTTGGCGTTTACGGCCAAGTCGGCTTTTAGAAGGCGAAATCAGGCTAATGCTGCGAGTACTTGCTGTCGTCAACGGTGTACCTTTAGTGACGAATCTAGTGTAGTCAATTATTAGTGACGTATGAGACGTCGTAGGGCTGACGAGTCGTCTGCTGTCGTTGTTGCCGATGTCGGTTACATTAGTGATTGGTGAGATCTCGTCGGGTTGACGAGTCTCCTGTTGCCTTTTAGTGATGGTTGAGATCTGGTCGGACTGACGAGTCTCCTTCCAGCGAGGCAGTGCTTCTGCTTATATAGGGAAGAGCCCTACTCTGATTGGCTGCAGAGTGGAGGGCGAGAACATTCCATAAGTCGTAGTGGCATCTACCGGCAATGTGTGGTAGCTACAAATGACCACTACATAGCTCCCCTAATGGGCGAGCCACTCAAAGCTGTCGACCAATGGTATCGTGTGGCGTGTCCTTCCAGTAAGTTACTCCCAGCCCCTAATTTGTTTTCCAGGTAGGGGTCACCAGTTTGGTGATTATGACCAGTCACTAAATTGGTGACCCCGATGTGGACACGCTCATGGATGAGGCTAACACCAGCATTCAGCCTCAGGAACAATCACAGGAGGTATCCGCCGTGGGTCCGGTACCATGCATACCGCCTTTCTGGAGGAGCAACCAGCCTTATGGTTCATCCAGATAGAAGCCGTCTTCGCTACTTCGAGAATTGCATCAAGTTCTGCTAAAAATCAGCTGGTGGTCACCAATCTCGAATTGGCACAACTACAACAAGTAACTGATATCCTGCGGAATCCTAGCAAGACACCGTACGAAGACTTGAAAGTTTGCTTACTTAACACTTTCAAGGAAAGTGAAAGTGTTAAAGTTAAGCAGCTCCTTGAACAGTCTACTCTCGGAGACGAACGACCATCACACTTCCTTCGTTCTATGAGACAAAAAGCTGGGAGCCTAGTCTCGGAGGAACTTCTACGGAACCTGTGAACCTAAAAAAAGGAAACTATTCTCACGATACAAAACTAGCCACAATTCAAAGAAAACAATGTAAAATACACCCCTTGCACACTCTTACAAAGAGACCATGGAAATTGTCAGGAAGCCCTGTATCTGTTATAGATGAGGACGTTATTCGCACTGCTTCTCTTGACTTTAGCGAAAAGAGCCAGACCAGTAGAAATAACTGACTTGACGAATGGTCCTGATATTGTTACAACTACCACAGGCACACATACTAGATAAATACTAGACATTCATACAATGATTACCAGTAATTGACTTAGATGTACTAAAAAAATGAATTAAAATATATATATAAGACCTAATAAATCACCAACTGAACGAATCAAACTCACTTTTGGCACTATATCAATACACAAAAAAGAAATTTGATCATCTAATTAGCAATGAAACCAAAACTAAAAGGTCAAAATGAGGGCTCCTTGGTTTAGGAAAAGCCAAGTGGGGGAAAAGCGATATCATGAGATGACCTATTATCCCACCTTCAAGAAGGAAGAATCATAAGACTAAATGTAAACATGCAACCGTTGGAACTATTAAATGTTTCCTTGACATTTTCAACAATTTATGTTTATATCATAATATCTTTGGGCATTCTGTTAATATTCTTCATGTTCGTTTATTTTCACTGTCAATATAAAGAAGACCCTCATCAAGAAGTGGCATCTCAGCCGACACCTGCATCTGTTTCTACAAGACTGCCTTTTTTCTTGCAGGAGCTTTGAACTTAGGGATGGAGGAGTTATAGGAGTAACCAAACGCCCCTCAGACCAACATGTCCAGACGGCCGCCCATCTTCTTAATCACATTTCTTTAAAATAGTATAAAAACCATAATCCCAAATATTCTTGCCTTACTCGTACGATAGCCTTCTGCCTGTCACTCTGTCGGTTAATAAAGTTTCTTCTTTTTTTAAAAAAGTCTTCTTCGAGCGATTACTTAATTTCGATATTTTATTCATGTTACAAGTACTATTCACTTGGGTGATTCTGAATGCTCCAAACCAATATAAAAAGTCCTAAATTAGATATATCCATATACAGGGTGAGTCAATTTTTGGTGCACCATTGGAAAATCAACGTGGGTGCGTTTAAATCTGACTCAAGGCCTATTTCTTTTGATTTTAACATTAAAAAAAGAAAGTGAGTCGATTTTCGGTGCACCATTGGAAAATCAACGTGGGTGCGTTTAAATCTGACTCAAGGCCTATTTCTTTTGATTTTAATATTAAAAAAAGGAAGTGAGTCAATTTTCGGTGCACCATAGAAAAATCAACGTTGATGCGTCTAATTATGACTCGGCATATTTTATTTTGTTAGTCTCGTACCAAAAAATAGGCGAGTCACTTTTCGACGCACCATTTGTTACAAATTCGTTTTAGTAGGTTGGAAGGAAAATAAACAAAACCAATATTATTAAAACATTATTCAAACACAATGTAAAAATTTTAAAAAATTCTTCACAAATTAATTTGATTAAGGTTTAAGAGTATTTTTTTCTGGTAAAGTAAAAAAATTAAATAAATGTAACAATCTCCTTTTTTCAGGTAAAGTAAAAAATTAAATAAATGTAACAATCTCCTTTGTTAGCAAACCAAAAATGTTTAAAATCATTATAATAATTGTTCAAACAGACCTCCATTTGCTGCAACACAGTAGCCTAGTCTATTGTAAAACGATGATCGGACGAAAAAAAATACTCTTAAACCTTAATCAAATTAATTTGTGAAGAATTTTTCTTAAATTTTTAAAAACATTGTGTTTGAATTTAATTTAATTTTAATAATATTGGTTTTGTTTATTTTCCTTCCAACCTACTAAAACTAATTTGTAATGAATGGTGTGTTGAAAAGTGACTTGCCTATTTTTTTGGTAGGAGACTAACAAAATAAAATGTGCCGAGTCATAATTAGTCGCACCAACGTTGATTTTCCTATGGTGCACCGAAAATTGACTCACTTTCTTTTATTAACGTATTAAAAAAAAGGAAATAAGCCTTGAGTCAGATTTAAACGCACCCACGTTGATTTTCAAATGGTGCGTCAAAAAATGACTCAACCTGTATGTACATCCATGTTATTGAGGTTGGTGTAAGGTAATATCATTTTACTCAACGAAGACTTCAAACACAGCTTTATTAGAAACTAATGATGAAAAATTCCATTCCACCACATTGGGTTTTTCCTTTAATTTAATTTATTATTTATTTTCCCTTTTTATCTAGTTATTTTATATTCACAACCCAAATTCTTTAGTCTATCGTGTATTCTTTCTTTCAGAATTATATTACATCAATACCATATTTTTCCCTGATTTTCCTTTATTTCTTCCTGCATCCTTTCCGATTATGTATCATACCCTCTCTTCACTATTTCTATGTGGATTGGGCGATATGAATCCTCCCTCTATATTTTTAGGTACAGGTAATATGTACCTCACACAACAATGGTAAATAATTTTGATGCCAGTAAGGAAAACACAGAGAGAAAATAAATTTTAGAATGCTTAAGAGGAAGCAAGATGCAACTCACAAATATTTAACAAGTTTATTGACAAGGTGCTGCATATTCAACAATGAGAAAAAATAATTCTGTCAATGAACAAGAGATGTGTCGATATTTCTTAGAAGCAGAAGAATCTCTGACACATTGTAATCTTGTAAAGTAAGGATGGTTCTAATATCGATATATAAGGGACGTACAACAATAATAAACAATTTTGTGGCTTCTCTGTTAAGAGAAACACAGAAAGAAAATATATTTTAGAATGCATAAGAGGAAGTAGGATGTAAAACTCAATTTTTATCAGGCTTATTGGCAAGACATAGATTCAACGATGAGGAAAACATATTTCTCACATGGTTCTTAGAAACAGAAGAGACTCAGACTCAATACACTCCTCTGCATGAGGAAACGTTTTGGGTTTTATAATACAACTTATTATGATGCGTGGATCCCCTTCGCACGATGCAACTCGTTTCCCTCATGAATGTAAAATAAAAATAAATAAAAAACTATCTGTGCCACACACTCAAACAAAACACAAAAACAAAAATTGGGACCTGATCCAAGTTAATTTCAACAATCACCTTTTAAAAATAAATGTATTAAGATTAAAAAAATAAAAATAAGTGACATTTACAAAAAAAAAAAAAAAAAAACGTGCCTTCAACAACTTGAAAGAGAGTCCTTCTTTTCCTTTTCTGTCTCAGCTCGCACTGCCGAGCCTGTGCTTGGGGATTAGCTTATCCCAAAGGATAATCCTGGTTTTTGAAAAATATTGTTATAAACTTACTGCAAAGGCTTGTTGCTGCAGACTCAATGAAGAGAAGAAAAAAACTATTTTTTCCAGTGAACAAGGGATGTCCATATGCTTCTTAGATAGAAGAGACCCAGAGAATTTATTCCTCTGTAGGAGAAAAAGTTTTGGGGTTAACACATCCTCACGCAGAGGCTTGTTTCTGCAGTCTGTAAACAACTGTGTCTTGGCTTGTTCTGCAATCAGCAAGACTATTGACTTTTAGTTAAACAGTTTTTCTCCCAATAACACGTTCACTTGAAACTATTCTTGTTTGTTCATTTAGATGGAATTATTTCAAATTTATGCGGCAAGGGACGTTTTTGTAACTGTTATTGGGGCGCTGCTGTTACCCTCCAGTTCCATTCTTACATTTGTATTATCCGGTCTGTGATAACGGATTAACGGTTTGAACTTTGAATGGACTAAAAGTTTAAAACCTCTCGGTGTACTCTTATTTATTTTGTTTTGTAACAAATCTGCTCTTCTGCCCTTTGATTCCATGACAATTCACTTGCAGAAATAGCCCGTTGGATAGAGGATCAGGATCATACCTGCAGACAAAGAGGAAGTTGACACAGTTAGTCTTGAATTTAAGTATACTCAGATGAGCAATTTGGTCAGGCACTTTCTTATTATTGAAAACTTTAATCCTCATTTGTATTCTGTTGTGTAGTGACATTAATATCTAAAGAAAATTTAACATAACACTCACTGGTTGTGCTAAAGCCCTAGTTTTATCCTATGAACATGGCATAGCCATATCAGCCTGCTTTTTTATTTATTTTTTAAATGAGCTTTTTATAACTAGTTCTCCAAACTTCTCATCAAAACTCAGCTCTGAATTTGTAAAAATTCAATTTTCTCAATCATTTGTTATATGTTTTGTTGTAGGAAAAAGATGAGTAATTTGAGTAGTAAAGATTTGTTGACTAGCGATGAATCTATCATTGAGCCTAGTTTTATAGAGCAAACAAAGAAATCTCATACAAATTTTGCAATTGTGGAGGAATCTTCAGATGAATCTATTGATTTAAGTTCAGAATTCATAGCATTCAAGGAAAAGTCTAATAATTCTACCCAAAACTTGGAATTTGAAGAATCCAGTTATGAAAGCGAATTTTTATCTCCCATCAAAAATGAAGATAATAATAGATCTGGGAAAAGATTAAATCGATCAATTTGTCGGGTTCTTTCTGAAGAACCGTCTACGAGTGGGGTTTGCAACACTCCAGAGCAAATTTCCAAACGACTCGATAATTCATCTTCAGCAGTGAAACATAAAAGAGACCTGATTTCTACCCGAAGTGAGTCTGTAAGTATAATTACATGAATTCAATTATATTCAAGTTTTTGAATGAATTTCATAAATTTTAGGATGATGAATGGGTTCCCATATCTACATGGAAATCGAATTCTATCCATAAACCTTTTGATAGCAGCTCGGTAAAAATATCTGATGATGATTCCGATGAGGTGAGTTATTTGAACAAGGTTTTTTAAATATTTTATGTAATATTTATTTTATATAATAATATATTTTAGAGATTTATATATATATAATTATATAATGATATAATGAAATGATAATAAATATATATACATAAATCATTACATTGGTTAATACAATTATTAGTTTTTACATCTCCAGAGCATCTGGATTACAATTTTTTTTTCCCCAATACACACACAATACTTTATTAGAATTGATACAAACAAAAAATAGGAACACTGATACAAAGTATAATAAGCATGGCTAGTAGCTGTCTGCTGATTTAGTTGAGTTGTTTACAATAAAAACATGTTTCTTTTTGCAAAATATTATTATACAAATTAGCATTAATATGAAGATTATGATGTACAGGAATACAGTCCACCAACTTGGATTAGAATAGATTGTAGCAATTGTGGGAATTTTATTTACAGGATTGATGGATTTATTCTTACATTAAGTTGTTTAAGTGTAATTCTGATGTCTTGGAAGTTGCTTAGGACAAAGTGTGGGGTTGATGTTTTGTATTAGAACAGGCTTCCCATGTGAAATTGATTTGTAGACGAGTGGTTCATCTCTGAACACAAAGCTCCTACTATCAGCTTTGTTGATGAGGAATATTTCTGTTAGAGTCCTTGCTTCCACGGAATCCTCATTCAAGAATTGTATCATCTCTGGTTGTACAAAAATGACTAACTAAGAATTGGCTAATTTCCAATATTAAAAGGTATTAAATTGGTTTGAATTGCCTATTCATTGTATATGCATGTTGGGATGGATCCCTTCAACAAAATGTCCTCTTCGCATAGATCTTGATGAGTTGACAGCAGAGTTTGGGGACAGTGGTAAACCTTGTTCTTCTTACAAATATTATTTAGATAAACAATTTTGTTAGTTTCTGATTTTAATGTATAAGGAATATGCGGGACAATTGTTACAATTCTGATGTGTGGTGTTTAGTGACCATTACTTGATGATTATTTGGAGGTCGTGAGATGCAGTCTGGTGTGACGTAGGTTTTAGAAAAACATTTTCTTTATCGTGCCAACGTTTCGATTTTTATTGAGATCATCTTCAGGGCCTGGGATTTATAAACATTGTTTAAATTTTACAAATAAATGTAGAATGTGAAAAAAAATGAATTTATACAACGCTAGAAAATTTTAGATTAAAGCATACCAAAATAGGTTTGATTGTCAAAATAAATAAAAAAGTTTATTACCTAATTCTAAAAAAAATTATTGAGTAATAAACAAAAAATAATAAAAACAAATAAAAATGTAAAAAAAAAAGTCCTTTACTACTGTGTATTTTCACCTTTTGCACATATCATGTCCGTTAAACACCTTTGCATTCCTTGGAAAAGAATCCTGAGGAATTCTTCTCCATTCATCAAGTACAGCTGTTTCTCTTCGACTCTTCTAGGGTGTTGGATGTGGGTTTCGCCATTATACTCATCACTTATGTTGGTCCCAAATGTGTTCGATTGGGTTCAAATCTGGATTTTAAGCTGGCCACATCAAGCAGTTAATTCCAGTCTCAATGCATGCTCTATGGGGCCTGGCATTATCCTGCATTAACAAGAATCTCTTACTCTTGTGGGGGGGGGGAATAGCAATACATGTTCTTCTATTATCTCTTGTAAGTACTTGGTTTCATAGAGCCTGATGACAGATGAATCTATCATCTCTCTCGTCTGTAGATCTGGTTTGACCCTATCCTGGTCATATTATTTTTTTGTCTCCGATGTCCAGTGTTCCACTCGAAAATTCATGTTGTTCAATGTTATATCATTGTAAGTGAGATAAATATAAGGATGAAATCAACAAAAACTTGTCAAACGTTTCAAACCATTTTGAATGGGACATAAATAAAACTAATTTTGTTTAAACTCTCAATTTATTCTAATAAAATAAATAAATATTGTTTAATATTTTGTAGTTTCAACCGCAGTTTACTCCAAAACATAAAAACAATATTTTATTATCAAGCTTTGATGACAGTGATGCTAAGGATGAAAATTACAACGAGCAATCTGATAAGGATTCCAATTTATCGGCATCTCCAAATTCCAACGAGGAGGAAGGTGGCTGTACAATTATGGTAGGCTCGGAAGATTCTGATGTCAGCGATTCTGAAGACATAACAGAAGAAATAAGTAAAACTGCCAAGGCTCAACATAAAAAAAGTGTAAATGAATCTGCAGATAGCAGTTCCAAATTTTCTCTTTTAACTGATGGTTATGATGTGGAAATTGACAATTTGTCTGAAAGCAGACTGTCAGAACTTAATTCAGAAAGGACAAGATTGAATCACGATAAAATAGCAAATGAAGAAAAATTAAAGGAGCTGAAGGTTTGTACAAATTTACTTTATTACTTTATTTATTAAAAAGGTTTTGTGTCATGTTATTTATCATAGCAGCAAGTTTTATATATTGATTTTTCAAATTATTATTTATCTATATGCATTTAATACGTTTAGCACAAAGGCGACTGTTCTCATCCACCTGCCAAATGGCATATCGTCTTATGGTCTTTATGTACTTTTATTAGGATATTTGCAGCTCTTAACGCAAATTTTCTGAAAAATTCTTTCTTTTCAAAAGGTTTTTTTTAAAATGTATTACTTTTTACACTTCTTTGAATTTATTACTTTACAATTCAATAGTACTGAAATGAATTTACAAATGGATCGTATTGCTGTAATAAACTTTTATGTTAAAAACAAATATTAACAAAAACAACATTGCACGTGCATTTTGCATTGATTAATAAATATAAATCACTCATATAAATGTTAAATTTTGTAAATTGACTGTATACATTTTTGGTGTGTTTTACAAAAACACAATGTATTGTCCAAATCACAGTTTGGCTATCAAAAAAGTATATTCACAGATCATTTAATGCACAACTTGATGAAAAGAGTGTACCAAGCATTTGAAAATAAAATAAGTTTAAACATGGTAATGTGTGATCTCAATAGAGTATTTGACACTCTAGATCAGGGCTTCCCAAACTTTTTAGCCAGCGAACTCCTTTGACACTTTGCATAACAAAGTCCAGGGTCGATCCCTCTCATTCAAGTATTTAGAATTAGATACTTATAGTAATGATGATGAAAACAAACATTAAATTGACATACTTAACTTTATTTACAAAATCCGGAACACAAAAGTCAAGTTGGAAAGAACGGAATCAATAGGCAGGTAAAACTCAAGGGAAATTCAAAAGTAATAATTTGAATATCAATTATTGGAATATTATGGGAAGAGTGAGGTTGTTTTAGCCTGCTCAATTTGGATATGATGGGTTTAATTTTTGATAGCTGGAGTATCAGGATCAAGAGCGCACCGACGAATGGTGGGGAGAGATGATTAAAAAAAAAAAGATCATTTGAGGTACGTCTCCTGCTCCTGCACTTACAAATATTGTAAGTGATCTCTTTGGTCATTTTTAAAAAATTTGTGTTTTAGTTCAAAAGGTTTATTATTATTATTTATTATTATTATTTCATCTATTTTCATTTGAAGAGTTGTATTTTTCATTTTTTTATTATTATTATTTTTTAAATAAAAAATTACAAGTTCAGTTATTTTATTTTATTTTTATTTATTCCTTGGAGTGCTCCTCACAGGAGATGGAGATGCTGTTGGGTTCAGCATCTAGGCAGCTTTGGTATTTAGTTTGGGTGGCTGTATAGATAGAAAATACCATTTCACATAGGCAAGTTTGTCAAAACTGAAAATGGTATGACCACCCATTGTATTGTATTTCAAGCTGTTGGAAAGTAGTGCTCAAAGAACATCTTCAGACTTTGAAGGTGTTCACAAATTTCATCAATTAATGTGTCAAATGTAAGCTCCTGTTTGTTTTATTTTAAAAGATTGTTTAACACAGGAAAATACTCCACCTCTTCCTTCTCACCAGATTCAACCCAAAACTGGATTTTTCTTATGAAGACGCAAACTTTGTCATTAGTATCAAAAGTTTTGATACTTCACGGACCATAATTTGAGAAGCCCCACTATACACTATCTTATCCTTTCTAAAAAAAACTGGAAGTTTTTGTAATCAGAGGGAATACACTGGAATTCTGTAGAGTTTTTTAGGTTTAAAATAAAATTAATACACTTTAACTTACCTCTTATATAAATATTTGAATGAAATATTGAAAAAGTCAAACTTAGGGGTTAGGAGTAAACGCACAATTTACAATGGAATGTCGGAGGTATGAATTAAGTTGACAGTTGAAAAACTGGAAATTCAGAGTAACTAAAACCCAAAGTAAAAGATAATCCGACAATACCAGCCCCTAGCGAAATGCAGGGAAAAGTAAGGAAGCGAGTTTGCCAATAGACGTAAAGCCGTCTGATTGATCGACCCTTTGTTTATTTTTTCTTTGTTGAACATTGTGCTGAACGTGCTAATAACCTAAATTAAAATAAATTATTTGTTATTAATTCACTTGCTTAATGCCACCAAGGAATTCGTAACATTGTTTAAAATACATTTGGTTTTTGATTTCGTTTTTGTAGAAAATATTTAAAAACAGTTTCTTTTTCAAATTGATAACCATTTATTTATAAATATTGTATATATACTTACTGTTTTCTTTAAACTTTCTTTAGGCATGTGTCAGCAAGATTAACCAGAACTCATTGCGTGATGGTGGTTTTAAACTACACAACAGCATAAAGAAAACAGTTGAATGTTTGCAAGAGATCGATGCCAGAATTAAAAAACTAAATTCAATTTTAGGCAGCCATCGTTTTGAAAGTGAGTTTTTAAATTAACTGTTATACAATTTAAAAATAAAAGTTAGACCGAATTATTGGATTTGGGCAATTTTATTTGTCATTTAATTAATGTAACTTGCTTAAAAAACACCTTTGTTAGGGATATTTCGGCGTTTTGGGTAACCTTTTTATAATTCTTTTTTAAAAATTAATATTTAACTAGATTTAATGAAAGTTATTTTTACTGCATGTTTGTGGTTAAACTTATGCTGATGTGTGAAGCTGAAATACATCTGATCACAGATATGCAGCAAGTACGGATGTATCCGTATAAAACAGTTCATAAAGTTTAGTATAAATTTATTGCAGGCTCGAAAGGAAATTACACAGTTCAGCCTCCTATTCACCAACCCATTGACCCTGGAAAAGGTCAGTTTCATGATAGAAACTTTTATGCTTATGTTTATTTTATTTGAGATTAACTTATATACAGTGTATATTACAGAAAAAATGATGGAAACAAAAAAAGCAAGTCCTGCTTATGTTAAAAATGCAGAGGTTTCACCTGATAGTAGTTACAAGGATGACCATAAAAATAAATGTCTGAGTTTTTACAATACCTTATAATATTTTTCAGCTATGTTATTAATAATTTGTTACATTTTAGCTTCATCTTATTTTAATAAGTTACCATCGTCAAATGTCAATGTTAACGAGATGGGAAAAAAAGGTAATAATTTTATTAATATAATGATACATTTTTTATGTTTTATCTACAGCAAAACAAGTCAAATCTTAAGGTCGGAAACAAAAATATTTTAAAAACTACCCGTCACCCTTAGGCAATGGCATAATATTATGGCACTTTAAATCTCGATTTCGGTAAAAAGTTTTTTCAGTTTTTCTGTACCCTTCATACTTTTCACAACTTAGCATGTCAAGAGTTAGACAACATACAGATTATGTGTTTTATAATTGCTTTTGCTGAAAATGGAAAAATGTTTTTATCAGCCACCATCAGGAGCAGTCCATTGTTAGGAAAAGAGGGTTGTACTACCCCGTTTTATGCGGAGAGTCTGGATATCTTTGCCGACTGGTTTAAGGGGCCATGCTGGCTCGATGGGGGCTGCCCTCCGGGGTTCATCAGCACAAAGTAACAAAGATGGCTAGTACAAAGTACTACACTAGTACAAAGCACAAGAAAAAAAAAATCGAAAATAGAGGTAAAGAAACTGCATTTAGAAAAATAATGGAAGACAATTGCACTCCCCGGCAAAAAAAAAAAAAAAAAAAAAAAAAAATGGATTTCTGTACATTTTAAACCCCTCCATACTGGTACATGTAGGACCTTATGGACATTGCTGTAAGTCTCCATCCAAGTAATTCACCTCTCTAGAATGGACGTAAACAGTAAAAATATAATTAAAATTTACACGTGAAAAAATATTTGTTACGATAATTTAACTTTTTTTAAGCCAAAAACTGCTGAATTGCTTTGCATTGAGTTATGCACAGCAAAATATAAATTTTCATATCTTTGCTTCATACTGCAATAATCATGACAAAACTATATCTACATCATTATTATGATCATAAGGAACACGTCTAAAAAAAAATTGACCAAAATCAGACCAGTGGATTTTTAGATTCCCTCTTATATATAAACAAACTTTCCCTTTTTATGTTAGTATAGATAGTTTGCCATGATTCTTTTTTTTATTAGATTATTTTATTTTTTTATTTCTTATTCCTTATTCTATTTTTTATTTTTTATTATTATTCATTGTTTAATTTATTTTTTATTATTTATATTTTTAAAATTTACATTATTAACAACAGAATCAGAGCACTACAAGCAACTTAATTGCCTTCATATTATATTAAACTGGAGAAGTAATCCAATAATTATCAATCACTTTCCTCACTAGGGAGTAATCGCAAGGTCATTGGTGCTTTAGGTCCTTAGAAGATTCTTGAGATGGTTCGGGTTAAAAGGTGTTGACTAGGCGGTTGGGATGAGGTTTGAGGGTTGTATGACAGCATGTGTATTGGTTTCTTCCGTCTGTGTGGATAGTAAGGTTGGATACAAGTAAGGAGCAGCTTGAACAATGGTTTGAAGAATTTTTGATTGTTGTGACTGATTCTTTGTAGTAGGTGCTTGGTTGAATGCCACAATTGAATTCCATATGTCCAGATAAGTTCTAATGACATGTAGATGAGTCATTTGTTTTCTAGTGAGTTTTTTGATATGTTGTCAAGTAGAGTAATTTATATCATTTGTTCAGTTCTATTCTTTTGAGTCGTATTAGGTTCCAAGTAAGTCCCAAATAGTGGATGACATTCGTTGCTGGGAAAGGAACAGAGGTGTAGATTGGAGGAGAAATGATATGACGAAGGGTTATTTAGGTTATTTGTTGGGATTGGTTTCATTTAATCCTCCATTTCTTGAACTACTCTTCCTAAGTAGATATGGTCCTGGAAGTTTCTGAAGGCCACTACTGGGTTTGGGTTTGCTGAAAGGACGTTGGTATGGTCTGCATGTGTGAGGATTACTGTGTCAGGTTTGATAGGAACGTCTGCGGTGTATACTGAGTAGAGAATGGGACCAAGGATGCTGTCATGCTGAACATACGCTTTGGCATAGTGAATGGTGGAGAAGCATGTTCCGATTCATACTTGAAAATACTTATTGGACTGATAAGATTAGATAATATAGTAGATTAAGGGAAAGATACCCTTGAGTTTCTAGAGCAAGCCCAGGTGCCAAAACGATTGAATACTTGCCTAAGAAAGCATCCAAGCAGTATTCCTTTTGCTCAAGGGAAGATGTGATGAAGTCTACCCAGTGACACTATTGAATTGTCAAGATGTCATAACATGATGTGAAATGTCAAATGAAGTGATGTCACTGGAACTCGAATTGATCGATGGAATAAGACTCTTCAAAGAAGGGATGTAAATGTTTCAGGAGGAATTTTGCAAGGATTTTGTCAGGTAATAGAGCGATATGGCATAGTAAGATCCTGAAGTTTTTGTGGTTAGGAATGGGCTTTATACTTGACAATTTCCATTGGATTGGACTAAATAGTTCTTAGGACTGAGTTGTAAAGGTGGCAAAAAAATAATTTGTAATATATATTATAATATAATTTATATATTTCTTTTAAATTAAAATTACTCTGACTTGTTATGATGGACTTACTTTAGACTTAATGTAAAATGTGTTGTTCATTTGAAAAGCTCTTATGTTGTACTTCGTATTGGATACTAGTAATTAGGTTTCACGATAAGGTGTTGTTTGTTTTTTTATATTTCTCACCAATGATGAGCAGTTTTATGTTGAATGTACATTGGTGCAATAATTTGTCTTAAAATTTGTCACATCAGCAGTGACACATACAGGATTGGGTCCCCCCCACAGTGACGTCGTGGTAGGGGACGTAGGAAAAGGGACGATAAGAGACAGGTGTATGCGATACGGCGAACAGATCGGGTCTCCCAGCTAATTGGAAAAAACGTTAATTTATAAGGAGCCAGTAAGCTCAAGCAAAGCCTTATTATTTCTTTTGGTTGGTGTTGGGAAATTTTATGAACAAATGGTGTTGGTAAGGGACAGGTGTACATAAGTGTTGTAAAAGATTCTTTATTAATAAACTCTGGTATATAAAAAAGGAAGGGTCTTGTCTTAATTTTTAGGACATAGTCCGTTTTAACCCTTTCTTCCCCTTTTGACTGAAGAGGGGCGCTTATCGCCCAGCACTCCGGCTTATTTACCCCATAGGTAGTAAGTGCCACCTCACAAATTTCATGAACAATTTAAATTTTGAACCAATTAAAAATTATGGCTCGTGATTCGGTATTGGAATAGTTTAAATAATTGACAAAATGCATAGGTCCTACAAATTAAGATGTGCGAAACATTTGCATTACATAATACAATTTTAAAATTTCTGTTTTCTTCATTTTTTGGAAAAGATAGTTCTACTCACAGAAGTTTTAGGCAGCATAGGGCTAAACATAAATCAGCGATCTACAGTTTGTTATCGATGGCCTCCGCTTTGCTCGCTCTTCAGAAAATCTGGCAGATTTGGTCAGATGTTTGGAGTAAACCAGAAGAAAATATGTTCTCAAAATAAACAAAAAGAACAGCTAAGCTAATGACCAAAGGAAATGAAAGAAATATTTGTGAACCGTGAAAAACTATAGTTGGTCAACAACAATCTTCTTTGGAGAGAATACTTACAAGGAGTAAATAGATGATTTTTTGTAGCTGGAAGTAAAGCAACCACTGATAGACATATTCAAAGATAACATGGACATAATTTTTGTTTTTTGAAATGAGCACAGTCCTGCCCTATGGTTCCCAGACTTCCTGACCAAACTAAACTCAAGGTAGAAGATTAAGCATATCAGCATTGCAGGCAATAGATAGAGCAAAAAAAACTAATCTTTTCCAAAAAGTGAATGTGTACACAGCCCACCTTAAATTATTTTTATGTTTTTCTTAACCAATAGTTTTTTTGTTTTTTCCCCACCTTTGAATAAAGTAAATTTGATGTTCAGTCAGTAATAGCAAGTGACTGAAAATGAGTGAAAAATGTCGTTCTTTAATTTTGATTAGTCCATGATTGTACATTTAATTGGAGAATATTTATAAAATACATTGAATAAAATTGACTTTACTTTTAAGCTTTGCAGACGCATAGAACACAACAAACCTTAACAATTGATGCTTTAACCAAGCTCCATAAATCCTTGGAAACCTGCCCTGAAGAGAAGGATAGCATTGAAGGGCCGAAATCGTTAAAAGTAGTTCTTTTACCGCATCAGAAACAAGCTCTAACGTGGATGCTCTGGAGGGAAAGTCAGACACCACGTGGTGGTATTTTAGGTAGTTTAAAGATTTTAATTAGTTGTGAGCTTTCTTCTGCTGGGTGATGAACCTGTAGGTTGGCTGTTTTCGATCATTTTGGTCTGCATATTCTTGTTGGTTCGGTCTATTAGATGTCAGAAAGCTGAATATGTCTGACAAATCAAACCAGCAAGGATAGTCAGGACAAAATGATTGGATACAACCAAACTGCATTTTAATTACCGTTATAAATTTTCATGGATGTTTTTAAATTTTAGCTGATGATATGGGACTTGGGAAAACATTGTCAATTTTGTCACTTATATTAAAATCTAAAGAATTGAAAGTCGATCAAGATTGTTACTCAGATGACAGTGATTTGGATGACCATCAAAATAACTTATCTACTAAATGTATGTATTACAATTTTTTTTTTTTTAAACATCGGAACTCCAGTGCTGATATGACCTCTGTTGTGAATATCTGTCAAAATCATCAAGAAAGAATCAAAAAATAATTTTTTTGTACACAGTTCCCCATGGCGAAACGCTAGTAGTGTGTCCATCTTCTGTCATGGGACAGTGGGAGTCAGAAGTAAGGACAAAAATTAAGGCTGGAACAATTTCAGTTTTAACATACCATGGTGCAAAACGTGAAACCAATCCCAGAAGGTAAGTTCTGCTGCCTTAGCTGTCCAAATTTAATTTTATAAAGGGAAAAATATTGTTTCCAATTATTTTTAGAAGTGAATTTATTACGAATACCTAAGTTGAAAAATGAAAAACAAATCATATCAGACTGATTATTAATTATTTGGAGATGGTGAGATGTGGTCTGGTGTGACGTATGTTTTAGAAAAACATTTTCTTTATTGTGCCAATATTTTGATCTTTATTGAGATCATCTTCAGGGCCTGGGATTTCTAAACATTGTTTAAATTATACAAGTACATGTAGGATGTGAAAAAAAGTGTGTTTGAATGAATACAAATACTTTGATTGAATCTAAAATTTCTACCATTGTATAAATTCTTTTTTTTTCACATCCTACATGTATTTGTATAATTTAAACAAATTTTATAAATCCCAGGACCTGAAGATGATCTCAATATAGATCAAAACATTGGCATGATAAAGAAAATGTTTTTCTCAAATCTATCACATGATCTCCAAATAATCATTAACTAACAGTCACTAAACACTACACAAAATGATTATTAAATTTGTTTATAAAGTTTTTAGTAATATGTTGTAATAAGTTCATTGTTTTAATTTAAGGATTGCTCGCTATGGAATTGTTTTAACAACATACTCATTGGTTCAGAAACAACCAAAGGTAAAGTTGCCCTTTGGTTAAAATATCCTTTTATTGTTTTCTGTTATTTATTTTAGGATGGACCCTTGTTTTCTATCTTGTGGAATCGTGTTATTTTGGATGAAGCTCATGTTATTAGAAATCATAAATCTCAGACAGCGCAATCAATATTTAATTTGAAAAGACGCAATGCATGGGCATTAACAGGGACTCCGATTCATAACAAGGAATTGGATTTTTATGCGCTTTTAAAATTCATAAAGTGTAAACCGTTTAATGATTTAGCAGTATGTCTGGCCCTAATTTAATTTTTTGAAACAGTTTTATAACTTTTCCCTTTAACAATAGGTATGGAAAAAATGGGTGGATAATAAGGATGCAGCTGGTATAAATAGATTAAACCTGATAACAAAAAGCGTTATGCTGCGAAGAACAAAAGCAGGAATTCAAAGCGCTGGTGGCCTTGAATCACTAAAAGCCAAAAATTATTTGGACATCAGAGTAAAGCTCGATTCAGAGGAGTATCAAGTTTATGAAAAAGTTGCTCATTTTTCAAGGTTTATATGCTATTGATTAAGAATACTTTCAATGATTCTTAAACCATTGAAATGCATACCAATGTTTTTATTAAATTTTATTTTTATTACAAGAGGTAAACATTTTCCAGAACTGTTTTGGCAAGTTTTATTCACCAGAGAGCCGAAAAAGAAGATTTATTAAAAGGAGGGATTCCTTCTGGAAAAGCAGCAAAACATTTAATGAGTAAGTGCTAGATGTGATCCTATCTTATGATAATCTCTTCTCTCATGTACAACTGCAACATCATGAATAATAATATCCTGCCTAAATGACCATATTGATTGAAGGCCAAATGAAAGTATATTTAAAAAACTTGTACAATTTTCTTTTCTTTAGGCTTACCAAGAGAGGACAACCCTTTCAAGGACCATCCTGAACTTGCTCGTCTTCACAGAAACATGCTTACAATGGGTGACAAAATTCATTCCCATGAAATTATGGTTCTGCTTTTAAGGCTCAGACAAATTTGTTGCCATCCTTGCCTTGCTGCTTCGGTATGGTTGAATATTGATTTTCGTAAATATGTGATTAATAAGCACTATTTTCTTTAGATACTTGATAAAGAGGACATCAATGAGCATGATGGAATTGAAACAGAAAACAATTCACAAAGTGATTTAGTGGATAAACTCATGAATTTGACCATTTCAAATGATGAAGATAAAACTGGATCCAAACAGCTCTCGATAAATAACCCTGTCTTCAGTCGTAAAAGAATTAGTTCAAAGGTAAGTTAAAAGTCAATAAAACAAAATGTTGAGAATGAGCGGGGTTGGTCTTTGAACCCCTGGCGCGATAAAGAAAATGTTCAGTTATCGTTCAGAGTCCAACGAGAGTGGACGCGTAAATCCTTTCCCCGTTTAATCTGACGATCGCCCTGATCTTTATTACAATTTGCCTCATATTCGAAGGTAAATCATTTTACAAATACACTTAGCCGTCCCAGACGGTTTTCTATAACAAAAATGAATGCCACTAGCGACGGAACATCGGATATTTCACTAGAAGCTATGGAAACAATTATTGGTACAAAACTCTCAAACGTAACCGACAACAGCAAGAAACGTAAATTAGACGATAGTAACACCTCACAACAATCGTCAAAAATTAAAATCAATGACAATTCTAACCCCACGCACTCTTATTTGTCAGCCCTATTAGAAAAGAAGCAATGTCTAACACTCAATCGTTTTAAATCCCCGATTCTGGACCATACTACATTTTTGTTGAAAGTAACAAAGATAAACTCAGTAATCTTCACCCTATGACGATTGGGAAATATATTTACACATCTGCGTATACCAATAAGCAATCAATAACGAATATAAAAGTTATAGGCGCAAATAGAATTAAAATAGACTTTGAGAATTCATTGGCAGCCAATAATCTTCTAGAGCAAAAAGTACTCTCGGAACCTTTTCTTGTATATATTCCTTCATTTCTTATCCACAAAACAGGAGTTATAAGGAATGTGGACCCAGATCTTACTGACGAAGAAATTCTGAAAGTAATTCAATCCCCCATAAAAATTAAAAGCTTTCGCCGCATCACACGTAAAGAACCTGGACAAAATAATCAAGTAAAAACAACTAAATTAAAAATATGCTTTATCGAATTCGATTCCCAAGTCCTTCCCGAGCATGTAAACATTTATGGAATGAGATGTCCAGTAGACCCCTACGTTCCTCCAATCATATAATGCACAAATTGTCTCCGATATGGTCATAGATCAGATCAATGTCGAAGTAAACTTCGATGTATGTTCTGCGGAGAAAATCATGACCCAAATATATGCATAAAACAACTGTCCCAAATGTGCTCACTGCTCCGGAAGTCACATTGCTACAAATCGTTCATGTCCAGTATATTTGGAACAATAAAAAAACAAAGCGTTCTTAACAACTCATTATACGCCGTTGTCACATCTAACAAGTTCAGTCTGCTTGAGGTGGAATCAGAATTTCCCCCTTTATCAGAATCCAAATACAATGAAAACACAAAAATAGCCAGCAAAGTGCACAGACCACGGCCAAAACTACGTTTTGACCCATATAAAGCTAGATATCAAACAAACGAACAAGAAAACCAGGACCCGGCCCAACTTACATCTCCTGTACTTACCGCAACCGAACCGCGTAAGCACAAGGGGCCAAATAGAAATCGTCTCCAACATAGAAATGTATATAACACGTCTCTCGAAAATGGACAATCAAATGATAACTTAATTCTAAAAATTAAAAATATCTTCAGTTCTCTAGAAAAAGAAAACGTTAATTCACCAATCTCCCTGCAGACAATAGAATCAAAAATAATGGAAACGCTGGTAGCCAAACCATCGATTCCAGATAAAGATTCCAATGATACTCAATAACTTGTTTAAAATAGCGAGAACTATTCTGTAAATAGTGTATTTAACTTTAGAGTGTACTGATTAGTAGATAATTATTTAAATATAAATTATTTATTTATTTATTTATCTATTTATTTATTTATTAGTTGACAACATGAACTTGAAAATTCTTCAATGGAACTCTAGATCCTTAAAAAATAAAAAACAGATCCTAGAAACATGCCTACTAACGGAAAACATACATATAGCCATAATATCTGAAATATGGTTCAAAACACAAGACCGTCTCTACTTCCCAGGCTACAATATCCTAAGAGAGGATAGAAAAGATGGTTTCGCAGGAGTCGCTCTCATTATTCGAAAAGATATTCTATACAAAAAATATAAAATAAACCATAAAATAAATGGATGTATGCACATTATTGCACAAATACAAATACGAAATGGCTCCTTTCTGACAGTACGTTCTTTATATGTAACTGGATCCATAAATTACTTGCAATGGGACTCTTTTATTAAGCTCCCCCCCCCCATTAATTGTGGCAGGGGATTTCAATGCTCACCATAGAGCTTTTGGCTCTGATAAGAGCACTACTAGTGGAAATGACTTACTCCACGCCACTGAAGATAATAACCTGGTCTTCTTGAACGATGGTACTCCAACACTTATACCCAAACAAGGACAAATTTTTACATCAGCCATAGATATTACGTTTATCACAAGATCATTAGCCCCTAAGTTTGAATGGAGAGTACTAGACGACCCTATGGGATCCAATCACTTACCTCTTATATACGAATGCCATGAAGATGGAGTGCAGCCCACAACACTTTTTAGCCGGAAAAAACTAAATGTTAATAAAGCAAATTGGAAATTATTCACAGCTACTTTAGAAGTTAAAATAATTGGAAAAAATCACTCATACAACTCATACTCCGACTTCATTAGTGATTTGGATTACGCTACAGGAACGGCTATCCCTCGGAAAAAATCAACTAACCGGGTTAACAGTGGCCCAGGAATAAAGGCCAAACCTTGGTGGAATATAAAATGCGAACAAGCGATTCAGGCCAGAAAGGAAGCTTTTCATCTCTACAAGCGAAACTCTACTCAAGATAATTTTGAAAATTACAAGAGAAAAGCTGAAACAGCTAAACAAATAATAGACCAGAGCAAACAAAATTTGTGGAAAGAGTTCTGCAGCAGCTTAAATCGCAATACAGACATAAAAACAATATGGCAAAGGATAAAAAAGATCAGAAATGCCTTTGTACATAGGCCCCCACCAATAATTATGGACGGCTGGGTCTCAAACTTTCTAAATAAAATATGCCCTCCCGGTGTACAAAGAGAATTATCCTTCAGTCAAGTAAATGACTCAGGAACTCACACCATGATGACTGAAAAGTTTTCTATCAGTGAATGGCATGCAGCTATGAAAAATAACTCTAACACCTCTCCTGGACTCGACGAAATATACTACTCAATGCTTGCACATTTACCATTGACATGTCAATCAAGCCTTCTAAATCTCTTGAACGATTTTTGGGAAAAAGGCCAGTTCCCCGAACAATGGAAGGACACATTGATAATTGCAATACTGAAACCTGGAAAGCCTCAATCAGACTTCAACTCATACCGCCCTATATCTCTTACTTCCTGTCTGCTTAAGACTTTCGAAAGAATGGTAAAGGCACGACTAGAATGGTGGCTGGAAAGCAATAAAAAACTGCCCGACTCACAAATGGGCTTTAGAAAGGAACGCTCAATCACAGATGCCCATGTGTCACAGACATACAACTAGGCTTCATGAACAACCATAGCACTCTAGCATTGTTTCTGGACATATCAGCTGCCTTTGATTCCGTCGATCTGTTCATTCTAGCAGAAAAAATGCAAAAGATGGGCTTACCTATCAAATTTATTAAAAACACAAGCACTCTTGTCTCAGAGAGAAACATATATGTCCAAATAAACGACATCACTCTTGGACCAAGGAAACCTAGTATTGGCTTGCCCCAAGGAGGAATACTAAGCCCACTGCTGTATTTGCTACACGTTGCAGATGTAGAGAATGTAATATCAAGAAACGTTAAAATTATTCAACTGGCAGATGACATATGCATCTACTCCACCACAAATCTGCAGAAGCGGCAATAGAGGCCATGGATTCAGTGGTGATAAAATTACAGAACTGGACGTACACCAACGGACTAAATATTTCTGAAGAAAAATCAAAAATATGTTACTTTACAAGATCCAGGAAATCTACTCTTCCTGATACTTTGACCCTGGCTGAAAAATCATTTCCAGTGGTTAATGAAGTCAAATTCCTTGGATCATAAGTTATCATGGAATGGCCATATTACGGCAATTGAGACCAAAGCAGAGAAATTTTATAATCCACTGAAATGTATTTCAGGATATGCCAGCCCTACAGTCAGCCTACTCTACTACAAAGCAACAATTAGATCTATAATTGACTTTGGATCAATTTATTATGGACAAGCTTCTAGATCAAAATTAAAGAAATTGGACACCATACAGCACAAATCTCTCAAAACTTGTTTGGGGTCTCTTAGGAGCACCCCCAATGATGTCATCAAAGCTGAATGTAACGACCAGCCACTGTCATACAGAAGAGAAAAACTGGCAGGGCGCTTTGTGTTGCGCCAAATGGCGAAAAAACATCTCTTGCTCAGCGCATCTGTGATCTGTCCATAATGAATTTAACAAAAAAATATTGGCAAAAGAAAAAACCTCCACCAATTACCACAATTTTTATCACTCTGGCAAAATATCAAGAAAAAATTGAACAAAGAGATACCCCTCCAATTTTCTCCACAGAGCTAAAAATAACTAGAAACCCCCTTAATTGTTATGTACTAAAAGACTACTCCGGACAAAATCCCGTAACAGTAAATCAACAAGTGCTCGCTGATCTTCAGGAACTTTTCCCTAAGGACCACTTAACTATTTACACCGACGGATCCCTCATGTCCGGTAAGGTTGGATGCTCCTGGTTCTGCCCCAGCATCAATAAAGGGGAATCAATTCCTTTGCCGGCAGAAATAACAATTTACTCAGCGGAATTATTAGCAATTAAGGCAGCTCTAACTTTCTTTACATTTAACCTTCCTACAACGAACCATATTATAATTTGCACAGACAGCCTCAGTGCAATCCAGAGCCTGCAAAACACATTTGCTAACATTAAGAATTATATTGTAGCTGACATAAAAAAGACTGTCAACAACCTTTCCACCTTAAAAAAAAATGTCTCCTTTGTGTGGATAAAAGGACATGCAGGCATCTATGGCAACGAAAAAGCCGACAAACTTGCAAAAAATGCCACACAATTACCCACCCCTAGAAACATAAGGATTCCTTATACAGACCTTTTTCAAATATTGGAAACAAGAATCCAAATAGAATGGCAAACTGAATACTCTACCTCGGATAAGGGAATGGCTTATAAAACATTATTTCCACTTGTGAAAACAATACCGTGGTTTAACAAACTAGACATGGCAAAAAGAGACATAACAACCATACATCGGTTGAGAACGAACCATGGCGTCTGCGCAGCGTATCTTCACAAGATCGGCATAAAACAAAACCCAAATTGTGACGCATGCGGAGTGGAGGAAGACCTTACGCACGTGGTATTTCACTGCAGCCGGTATGTGTCAGCCAGAAATGGTTTCTACCAGGATCTGGAGAGGGAAGGAGTAGAGCACCCGACTACGGAAAGCAGAAATCTATTAAAGAATCCCAGTGTCTATAATGTGATAATAAAATTTTTGAATAATGTGTCAGTGAGAATATAGTGTGAACTGTTAAAATTGTACATTTTCTTTGTAGCATGGCTGTATAGTTTTTGATGCCAATAATAAAAAATAAAAAAAAGTTTTCCTAAATCCTGCATCACACTCGACCACATCTCACGATATCCGAATAATCATTAACTGACGGTCACTAAACACCACACAAAGATTCTTTAAAAAAAAAGTCTTGCTTTGAAATAGGTTATAATAAAAAGATCATTAAATTTTATTCTTTGTTCATTATAAAAATAAATTCAATTAAAAGGAACAAAATTAAATAGGTTTTGATGTAAAAAGATTTCAAATTCGTTCTTTGATTTTCATTAATAAAATTTGAGTAAACAAAGAATTTTCTTTTGTTTAAAAAAAAATAAATAAATAACTTTATACCTATACCTAAGTACCTAAACCCCGAAATAAAAGAGAATCCAACAATACCAGCCCCCACTATAATGCAGAGAAAAGTAAGGGTTTGAGCGTGGGTTGATTGGGTAAAGCTGTCTGGCTGCCCAAACTTTGTTTCACCAGGTTGACAAATGCTAAGCCGAAAGTGTTAAAATTTTCCAATTTGAGCACAAAATTTAATATACATAGGTAGGCCAGCGGGACCCAGATTATCATCACAGATTGCCAGGAATGAAGGTGACCTCTGAAAATTTTGGGATGTGAATTTGGCTATCTACCTTGGGCTATACCTACCTAGGATGTTATCCATTACAAAATAATACACTACACAAATATATACAAACATATTCCGTTTCCAATTTCAAGCGTTTAGATGTTTCTCCCCTAAATTATCGGAGTCAGAGATTGGAATAAAGCATTCCATCAGAGTTAAGAATCTGTAATCAGTCGATGTTCAGGCATGTGCAGTCATAAATCACGGATTAGTCGGCAACCGATTTGTGATTGTGTGATGGAACAAACCTATTGTTTCCTGAGTCGAGTATAGCTGCCCAAATTAGATTTTCAAATCCATCAATATACCTTTGCTTTCCATTTATAAATTGTTCTGTTTCTGAGATTTGTAGAATTCAACTTTATCTTGATTTTTATCAATATTAATGTAAAAATTCATTCTGAAGTAATGCTTAATTTTAGATTCGAGCTGTGATTGAATGTTTGATGGATATATACACTTCAAATGAAGAAGATAAAATGATAGTTGTGTCACAGTGGACCTCAATGCTCGAATTAATCGGTGGGGTTCTCAAAGACCAAGAGATACCCACTGTTTCTCTAAATGGAAAAGTGTTAGTAAAAGATAGAATGCCAATTGTTGAGAAGTTTAATAGAGTGAATTCTAAGCCAAGGGTATATTCTTTTGAACATATATATATTTCTGATTTAGTATTAATAATACTTTTCTTATAAACCAGGTATTGTTATTGTCATTAACTGCTGGTGGTACAGGTCTTAACCTAATTGGAGCAAATCATCTTTTACTTGTAGACATACATTGGAATCCTCAACTAGAATCTCAGGCCAGTGATCGCATATACAGAGTTGGTCAAACAAAAAAGGTTCATATATATAAGTAGGTACATCAATTTTTTACAAGAAATTATCCAATAAAATACAATACAACTTCTAATCATTAAGGGTACTTATAACAATAAACTCTTCTCAAGCAGAGAGGACCTATCTTTAATTAAAAAATATCTTCTTTAAAAATCTATAAAACATGTTACAATAATTGTATTTTACTTATTAAATATTAATTTAAAAAAAAAACATGGTTAATTGAGTAGGTGGATTGTGGAAAAAGATATTTTTTGTTATTGTGGCATGATTTTTACATTTGCAACCCTCTGAAATTGGGGTTTTCCAGCCCTAAATTAAAGTAAAGAATGTAGACAGTTGGCTATGATTGACTTGTTTTTGTATTATTATAACAACTGTATTTAGTTGTGGGATATATAGTGTTGTATTTTTAAAAAATAAACCTGTAGTTTGATTATACCTAATCATCCGGCTTTCTTGGTTTCATCGGTCAGACACATTTCAGTATTGGATCATCAATCTATAAATTCAGATAATTAAAAAATTGTCTTTAAATAAATTGTAAAAGTGATTAAATATCATTTTTCCAGATTTATATGTATGGATACAATAGAAGAGAGAATTGAACAACTTCAACACCAAAAATTGGAAATAGCTCAAGGAGTTCTCACAGGATCTGTGAAAGCCCAAAGCAATAAACTTACACTTAGTGACCTCAAGCTTCTATTTAATGTAGTGTGATAACGTGAGTTGCTGTTTATAAAAAGAAAATTATATATAAATTATACTTAATAATATATGAACATTGTTTATTGTAAAAATTCTTTTTTTAAAGAATGTTCTTCCATTGAAATTCCAGAAGGAAACAATTTATCCAGGTTAATTTTAAGATTTAAAAAATAATAATAGTAAGTGTATCATAAACTGTGGGGAAAACAGAAAGGAAAGAGGCAGTATTTACTATCACATATAAATCTAAAACTGGGTACAATATTGCTCTAATCTGGAAAATGACCCTAGCTCCAATTATAATACTGGAATGTTAAAAAAATATTATGTAAATATATATTTTATATACTTTTGTTTGTATATAATAAAGTTTTATTATAAAACCATATAAATGTTGATTTCATTATTAATTTAATATTCCATCTCCTGAAGGTTGGATGCAAGAAATAGTTAACAAAATTCAATAGACTTTTTGGTGAGTTTGGTAGAGAGTACAGTAGAAAGAATCGACTAGACATCAAGGATAAGAAAAAATGTAGAAGTTTGAGGGATTCAAAATAAGTGATGAACTTTTTTCAAAAATTGAAGAAATCTAAGACCAATAGAAATGATGAATGATGGAGTGAGTGCGGTGTTCAATCCTTTTCTTTTAAAAAAGGATCTAAGACTAAATCTTGGCGAAAGTTCCTCTGTTGGTATGATGTAATAATTATTCAGAAATCGTGAGATGCGGTCTGGTGTGATGTAGGTTTTAGGAAAACCTTTTTATTTTTTTGCATTGTATAAATTAATTTTTTTTCTACATCCTACATGTACTTGTTAAATTTAAACAATGTTTATAAATCCCACGCCCTGAAGATGATCTCAATAAAGATCAAAACTTCATTCACTAATTTCGTGGTCCGCTTGACCAATTAATGTATTACAATTAATCAAGGTTTTTAGTTGAGATAAAAAAGTCAATGGCATGAGCGGGAAAAATGGCAAAAAGGAGGGAAAACTCAAAAGGTGGGGTTGAGATAGAAAGTTGGTGTCCGAGTGGATCGAGGTCGCAATAGCTCAAGTGGTAGAGCAGCGGCGTATCTAGCCGAAGATCATGGGTTCGAATCCCGCTCGTGCCATTGACTTTTTTATCTCAACTAAAAACCTTGATTAATTGTAAATCAAAACGTTGGCATGATAAAGAAAATGTTTTTCTAAAACCTACGTCACACTAGATCACATCTCTCGACCTCCAAATAATCATTAACTAATGGTCATTAACCATCACACATTTCTGTATAAGTTATTTTTTGCATTTTCTAATTTTAGGATTTTTTACATTTGTTGATCATTTCTTTTGTTATAAGCTGTTTATTCTTTCTAGTCGAGAAGCCAAAATGTATATGAATAAAATATCCATACCAGTGGAAAATTGAAAAATGGGGAAAATTCCCAGTTTTGGCATTTTCTAATTTCAGGACTTTTACATTTGTCCAGTCCCATCAAATAGGACTTGAAATATGAATCATAATATAGATAACTGTGGAAAACGGCAAAAAGGGACAACATGCTCAGTTAAGGCTTTTTCACTTCTCCTAATTTTTGGACATTTTACATTCATTAATATTTTCTTTTTTTTATAATCTCTTTTTTCGGACTCGTCTAAGCAAATAGAATGCATAGTACAAGTAAAATTTTAATAACTGCAGTAAATGGCAAAAACTGTTTACATTTGTTAAGCATTTCTTTTGTTACTAACTACTTATTAAGCATCATCTAAGCTAATTCTTTTCTAATTTCATGACTATTAACATTTTTTAAACGTCTTTTTTTTATACTCTTGTGAAATATGAATCAAATTTCGATAATTGTGGTAAACAGCAAAAAGGGTCAAAACGACTAATTTTGTCTTTTTTGTATTTTCTAATTTCATGGCTTTTTACATTTGTTAAGCATTTCTTTTTTTATAAACGTTTTATTTACCCTAGTCCAAGGGAATAGATTGTGAAATATGAACCACATTTCGATAACTGTGGTAAATGGCAAAACTACCAAAACAAATTTTGGCTTTTCCTATTTTCTTATTTCATGACTTTTTACATTTGTTAAGCATTTCTTTTTTTATAAACGTTTTATTTACCCTAGTCCAAGGGAATAGATTGTGAAATATGAACCACATTTCGATAACTGGTAAATGGCAAAACTACCAAAACAAATTTTGGCTTTTCCTATTTTCTTATTTCAGGACTTTTTACATTTGTTAAGCGTTTCTTTTGTTACTAACCGTTTATTCACCCTCATCTAAGCTAGTTGTTTTCTAATTTCATGACTATTAACATTTAGCAATCTTCTCATAAATTGGTCACAATATGTAGAAATACTATCTAAGACTAATGAATTATCAAAAGTCACAAAAAACATTGAAAAAGTATATATTTTTACTTGTTTTTTGAGTTTCATCTATCGGTTGAGGGGCGAGTTGCGAGTTAGGGAATGGAGGCTTCTGACTAGTTCAAGTTGATCTTGTGTAGCAATCTTGTCAAAAATTGGTCACAATATGTAAAAATACTTTCTAAAACTAATGAAATATTAAAAGTCACAAAAAACATAGATAATGTATACAGGTTTCTACTAGTTCATCTTGATCTCATGTACCAGTCCGGTCCAAAATTGGTCAAAATATGTACAAAAACTTCCTAATACTAATGAAATATCAAAAGTTCGAAAAAGTATGTATTTTTACCATTTTTCCTCATCGCTTTAGAAAAGCTAACGCTTGCTACTGCATTAGAAATGCTTCTGCCTCCTTTCGTTTCAGTAACGCTAACTCCTACCGAATTATAAACGCCAACGACTCTTACCGCATAACGTTAACTGTTGCATTAGAAATGCTAACGCTGAGTGAATGCTTATATTGCATTGATCGGATCCATATTTTTCTATACAAATTCATTGAAAAGTGTTGTTTAATGGGTGTTGCACTCGTGTAGAATAGGCCTATGAAGTCACCTTCATTTTTTTTTTTTTTTTTCTCAACTGAAAATGACAAATGTGCGTAATAATACATTTGTTTGGTCAGTAATTCTGAATAACTAGGTTCCAATGTGAAGGACAAAGGTTGATGTTTGTTAGTTAATAATTGAAAGGTTAAAAAAAAAATTAAATGGCTTAAATACAACTAATATTCTAACTTCTAACATTCATATATATATTTATAACATTGCCAATCCACAAAAAAAGAAGATATATTTTCCAATAGGCCTATACTATATAAAGAAACAAATTTTTAATAATACAAGGAATGTAACAACACACTATGACAGCTCACAATGAAGTGCCATATTAAGTCAATTTTAAAAATCATACTCTAGTCCTGACTACTTTTTTAGAATTATTTCTTTTGTTGTAAAATACTATGTAAATTTAGTATTTTAGTTTTCCAACAGAACATTTGTTTCTTCATTTTGTGACAAACATAAATCCAATGATTTTTTTTTTAAATACAGTGAAATAGAGGTTTTGTATGCACAAAAAATAAAAATGCACAATTATTAAAAAAAAAAAAAAAAAAAAAAAAAAATCGGAAATCTCATTTCATACAAATAAATCTTAAAAGAAAATAAATCAATTTTAAAAATTCAACAATATTAATAACATAATTAATTACACAGTGATATTTTTGATATACTATTACTGTTAATACTGGGTTTGTTTACATTTCCACCAATCTTATATAATTTCATTTCAATTTAAATTTAATTTACAGTCACATGTATATAATTTTTATATACATATATTTTACTTATATAAATGGAATGCTGAAATGGTGAGAATTTATTAACAAAGAAATATTAACCGCACCCTAAATGCTTTTCAAAATTTTAACAAATGACGTCGAAGGTCAAAAATTGTATGAAAAGCTTAATCTACCCTAGATATACAACTAATCATAATATCTAAAGCCCAAAAACCCTTCAACAAACAAATGATATACACTATTTCTCTCTCACTGCTTCATGTTCTTAATATATATATCTCAATTTTACAATTTTTTCCATATATACAATAATGTTGAAGAAGTAAAATAAAAACGCGATAAATTAAAGGGTGGTATGGACAAAGAAAAATGTAGATTGCACTGATACACGATAACTGTGGTGTTGCTATTGTCGACGGAGGATTTAATTTACAAGTTAATTAGTCTTCCAGGTTTCTGAAGGCTTGTTGCATGTCTTCATGAAGTTGGTCGAAATCGGCTCTAATTTTGGCCTCACCATCCTTCACAGGATCCTGGAAAAATAAATGTTTAAAATCGACAACATAGAGACAATAGATAAAGGCCTACCTTGAATTTCATGGAAGAAAGCTGATAAAGAATATTTCCCATGCTCTCTTTGATGACAGCCCATGTGATTTTGTTCTCGCTTTGAGCCGTCGACTCTACGGCGTGCCTTGCCATGTCGTAAAATGCTATCATGTTCTTCAGCATGCCGACAGTCTTGTAAAATGGGCAGAATCTGTCGTATGGTGAGTAGCTGGAAGAGAAAATCAATATAAGCAATCATATTCTACATACAATTTGAAAATAGATATTTCAAATGAATATGACAATTTTTTTTAAGCATTAATTGAAAATTCTAAATAATGACCTGTTTTGTTGCAAAAAGTCATCCTTAAGGAGTTTAGCTATTTCCAAAGTGATTTTATCAGATTCGGCCAATGAGCCTTTACCAACAAGTTGTACAATTTCTGACAAGTCTTCCTCTTCCTGCAATATTTCCTTAACTTTTGTCCTGAGTGGGACAAACTCGCTGAAGTTTTTGTCATAAAAGTCATCAAGCGCTCGCATGTATTTGCTGCAAAGGAAAAATCGAACTTTAAATTAAAAATAATAATTAATGTCAAATAATTAAAATTAACCTGTATGAGATAAGCCAGTTAATTGAGGGAAAGTGCTTCCTTTGAGCAAGTTTCTTATCTAAACCCCAGAAGACCTGTACGATACCGAGTGTAGCCGATGTTACAGGATCTGAGAAGTCACCACCAGGAGGTGATACAGCACCGACAATACTCACAGAGCCCTCTCTCTCCGGATTTCCCAGACATTTGACTCGGCCGGCTCTTTCGTAGAATGAAGCCAAACGAGCACCTAAGTAAGCAGGATAACCGCTGTCGGCAGGCATTTCAGCCAGACGGCCGGAGATTTCTCTCAGAGCCTCGGCCCAACGAGATGTTGAATCGGCCATCATAGACACATTGTAACCCATGTCACGGAAATATTCTGATAATGTGATTCCTGTGTAGATGGAAGCTTCTCGAGCAGCTACAGGCATGTTAGACGTGTTGGCGACTAGCGCTGTTCTCTTCATAATTGATTCTGTCACTCCATCAATTTCAACAGAAAGTTCTGGGAAATCTCTCAATACCTAGAATTCAAATTTTAAGCTTTAGGAAAACCATTCACTTTGTTTATTATTTTTTATTAACTAGTATGAGAAAAATAATAAGAATCCTCTGAGATATTCAACAAATTCACCTCAGACATTTCATTTCCTCTTTCTCCACAACCAACATAAATGATGACATCAGAGTTGGAGTATTTAGAGAGGGCTTGCGAAATCACAGTCTTTCCGCAACCGAAGGCTCCAGGAATGGCTGTTGTACCTCCCTGCACACATCTACAAAAATGACAAATTTAAGCATAAATTCAGTCATTATTCAAATAAACAAACGTTAAGACACAAACGGGAAAAGAGCATCTAAGACACGTTGCCCGGTAAGAAGTGGGTAGTTGGCTGGAAGCTTTTCTGTAACAGGACGAGGCTGTCTCACAGGCCATACTTGCAACATAGTGACTTTCATCTTCTCTCCATCAAATTCCGTTTCCATTACGACATCCTAAATTTGCCAATTTATGCATTATTAATTTTTATTTATTCTTAAAATAATAAATATATATAAATCAAGTTACTTCAACTGTGTAGGAGCCAGCTGGGGCAATGTATGTCACTGTTCCTTTTGCCTTTAAAGGTACAAGCATTTTATGTTTGACGAGTGTGTTCTCCTGGACCACACCATACAGATCACCTCCAGTCACATGGCTGCCGACCTAAAGCAGTACATTTAAAAACAAAGAAATAACATTTATTTAATTTAAAAAAAAAAAAAAACAAAAAAAAATACTTTGATGTTTAATGGGCTGAAGTCCCATTTGGTACTTCTTGATAGGGCAGGGATGTTTACACCCTTTGGGATGTAAATGCTGTTCGAAATCTCATTAATGTCCTTGAGAGGTCGCTGAATCCCATCAAAAATACTGCCCAGAATACCAGGGCCGAGCTCAACAGAAAGGGGCTTTCCAGTTCTCAGTACAGGATCACCTACAGTGACACCCGAAGTTTCCTCGTACACCTGGGAAAAACATGGTTTGTAAAAAATAATTAAATTTTAAATAAAATATTTATATTAAATACCTGAATTGTTGCCATGTCACCTTCAAGACGAATGATCTCGCCGACAAGTTCAAAATATCCAACTCTGACCAATTCGTACATAGCAGAGCCAGACATTTTCTCCGCAGTGACGACTGAAAAATTAAAATAAAAAATAGTAAAATTTCTATTTTTTCCTAATAAAAATATAACTGTACTAATGATCATATACCAATTTGAATATTAAGCATTTTGTAAAATAAAAAAATAGTAATATAATAGTAAAAAGTAAGGGGGGGGGGGTTCCATTTATTTTTTAATGAAAACCAAGTTGAATTTTTAACATAATTTTGAAATTCAACTATTCACAAACAAAACCTAGAAGATTTTCAACTTTCATTTTAATGGTAAAGTGTAATGAAAACTTTCTTTGTTTATTTAAGATAAATTAATGGCAAATGGAAATGTGCACAGTTGCTTTCTATTCTTACAAAAATAATCTCATGACGATAGAAAGTTAATTTGTATTATTTATAATTTGTTGAAGTCGTAAGGAGCAAACAGGATGAAGTATTTTAGAACAAGTTTTTCATTTTTATGACATTTTGACCTTTATTCGGGTCCTCTTTGGGGCCTGGGTGAATTAAAAAACATATGTTGATTGGAAAAAATGCAATACAGACGTAAATAAAAATTTTGAACCAAGTATTATGTATATTTAAGTGTATTATTTATAATGATTCAATTGGATATTGAAGCCAAATTACAAATATTGCATATCAAATCATTATAGGCTCATATTGAAGATTAATAGTATAATAATTATTTGGTGACCGTGAGATGCGGTATGGTGTGACCTAAGCTTTAGAAAAACATTTTCTTTATCATGCCAATGTTTAGATTTTTATTGAGAGCATCTTCAGGGCCTGGGATTTATAAACATTGTTTAAATTATACAAAAACTTGTAGGATGTGAAAAAAGTGAATTTATACAATGCTAGAAATTTTAGACTCGATCATGTCACACCATACGTGACGCATCTCACGATCTTCAAATAATCAATAACTAACAGTCACTAAATACCACACATTAATAATATATAATAAATTTATTATTAATTAATTTTTTTAACAAGGCTATTTCAACTACAAGGTTATATGAACCCTCGGTGTGACGGTTTTTTTTTTTGAAAAAAAAAATTAAGTTTGTCTGCTTTGCATGTCCGTTGAATTAGAACCCCAGACCTTTACTTGTGATGAATGTCGTGTCAACACCTAAACCGTAGCAGCCACCAATGCCACAATTTATTAATTTTTAATATACTTCTACATTAAACCTCATCTTTTCAATGTTGTAAGTCTTCAAAAATTGAGAAAGTTTTTGTACATATGTAATCTGCACATCTACATATACTGGAAATTTTTAATTTAATTTAATGATTTTATGATCAAATTAATAATATCCATTATCGATAAACAAAAATTAAACTTTGGCCCTCTTGATAGAACTTTCAAATCCTATCATCTTTATCTCCATTGGTTACATGTATAGTTTTTATTGATTGATAAACCATCCATCCTGTCATTCACTTATTCTGCCCTCGAATGTGTTTTACAATCTTGAAATAAATTTAATTAGGAATTTTTAAACCTATCACAGTTTCATATTTGACTTATCCTCTAAATGAGTATATTTTTAAATTGAAAAATACAAATATGAAAAATAACTTTCTAATTTAATTAACAAATATATCATTACAATTTATAATGTACATTACCATATTATTAATTTGGATAATTATGAGATCTCTGTGTGATCTGCAGGGTGGTGACATGCAATTTGGTCATTACCAATCATCCTGGTCTGTCAGTCAGGTTTCAACGTTTTGCCATCTTCACAGAGACACACTGCTGATGGTGAAATGCCAAAAAATGTCTGACAAACCAACCCAGCGAGGATAGGCATATGCAAATGATCAGTGATGACCATAAAAAATTTGGATAACGTTTGTTTAATAATTTTGTAAGTTCGGTTTATGTAGCTCTCAATTTTAAAATATCCAGATATTTTTCTCAATATAAATGATACTTATATAATGCTATAAATTACTTTTGTTAGAAATGAAGTTAAACAGAATAATGTCCAATGTTGACTTGGATCGAGTAAGATATTTTTCAATCCTTTGTAGGGATGATGGCTTATTTTTTAAATAGGCATAATAAGATCTAAATTTTAAAGTTGTGCCAAGGTTAAGTACCCCATTAGAACAAAGCCCTATTTTGAAGAGAGAATATTGGAAAATGTAATATGTATAATAAGTAAAAGGAAGGTGGTGAAGGATCACCCTCCCATTATAAGTTTGATAACTTATCTTGGTTTTAAAATTATACATCTATGTGAATTTTGAAGATGCAATAAAAAACATGATTAAAACAATTGCAGTGTTGGTGGGCGGATCGACAGTGAAGCTCTTGTGTATCAAGAGCACTGGTGATAGGTGGATCTCAGAGGACTTGATTGTAGAAGGGTCATTCTCAATTGATTAAGAATAGGCCATGTGAGGTTGACACATGGACCCTTACTTTTGGACCAAAGCACATGTTGGTTGCTGTGCCCCACCTACTTCAAGAATGTAATTCCTTGGCTCAATATAGAGAATTCTCAATACAGAGAATCAATAGAGGAATGCCACTCGTTATGAGAATTGTGCCTGAGCATGACAGCGAGCATCTGGGTCCTCTTTTCTGATTCTTGCAGGGAACAGGGTTGTTTTATTGTATGTAGTAATGATACTTTTGTGTCCCTAGAGTGTGTTGAAAGTGAATGTATATATTATTTGCATGAATGTATGGTGTGAGAAGGCTGATGGTGGAATACTCAATATCCCATCGCCCCTCAATTAGGCTAGTTACAACAAAATGTGTAAAGGGTGATAAAGGAACATCAAGCATTAATTAAGACTGTATTTTAGAGGGAGTGAGAGGGTGAATGGATTTAGGAATTGAGTGCGATGAACGATAAATGGTCACAGCTGTTGACAGCACCCGAAGCCCAACCTTGGTAGCTGGACGAAAAAAACAAGTCTGACTCCATACTGCCAACACCCAGGGTGGGTGATTCTCAAGGCTGGTCCACGATTTATTGTAAATTACAAAAGCTGTAATTGTCAGTGGACTGTGAGAAGCTAATAGGCTCATGTGTGTTTGCATATTTGAGCATGTATAAATCGGTACTCAGTTGTTTTTAAATAATAAATAAAAATAAGTTAAATTTTGAATAATCCATCATGTATTTAGCAGTCGTAATTGACCATACTGAATATTTTAATTAATTATACTTTTCTAAGGTCTTGGTTGAGATGAAAAACTAGTGGCACAGCTCCCCGTGGCCACTTCATAAGTCGCTGAGAATCAAATGGCTGTAGGTTGAGATGAAGAGTCGGTGTCCGAGTGGATCGAAATCATGATAGCTCAAGTGGTAGAGCAGCGGCGTATTTAGCCGAAGGGTTCGAATCCCGCTCGTGACATTGACTTTTTATCTCAACTAAGACCTTACATAAAAAGAATAATTAATTTAAAAAATATGTTCAAATTTAATTTAGTGTAGACAAATACAAGAAATTTGCAAAGTTTCTATCCTTTACCATCATCAAAGTGTGCAAGGCTATTATTTTTTATGTCAAATTGTATCAATTTCCCAACCCTTAGAGAAAGAGTTGTATTTGAGCAAACAAATACTGAAAAATTGCTATCTGTGTGACAGGAGGGGGACGATGAAGGCTAGCACTCCCTCATGGTCTAATTTTCAAATAGGCAGGATCAGGTGCAAAAGATGTTACATAATCAACAAAAAAAAATTCCCCATTTTCTCCTGTGAAAATTGTAAAAATTTGATTTTTTTTTTTTTTGTATATTTACCAGGGCCGGAGACGGCGAAGACATAGCCAAACTGCGATTCCTTCTCCTCGTCTCTTATTTTCGGTAAAGTCATTTTCAGTGTTTTTTAATTCTTCGTGAAAAAGAAAAACAAGGCCGGATCTGAAAAAGAAAAGTTAATTTTTATATTTGTACCATGGAATTTTTGTGGGGAGGCCCTTATGAGAATTTTTTTTCAGGCTTGTCTCAAAGGTCACAAAAAATTTTAATGGAGAAAAATGGTAAAATTGGGCCGAAATGTGTCTAGCGAGTTTAAAACTAAACGCGTGCAGTTCGAATAAGCTTGAAAGCTGATTTAATTAGCGTTTTAAAGTGAAAATTCGAAAAGAAATATATCATTTAAAAAGTGGGCGTTGCCCAGTTAACGTTTGTTAGGTGTGTCAATACGGCCTTCTACGAGTTGAAACAAAATAAAACAACGTAAAACATATATTATAGAATTATTCTATTAAGAAAGTCTTTTCTGAAGGGTCTGAATGTAAAAATGGTCACTTCCGGGGCTCTGTAGATAGACATTCGCGAAGTCAAGATATAGTGATTAAAATTGTTGTAGGAGTTCTTCGACTTCTTTATCGCTGCAATTCTATTTGGCCAGTGTTTCATTTGCATTTATCTCTACATGCAATAATCCATCGGCAACAGCATTCTCTGAACCTTTTTTCTAAATTAATCCGTAATCATACTCTACGAGTTGTAGACACTAACGTAATAATTTTTGATTTGGTTCCTTTAATGACATCAACCGTTGGAGGGGTTTATGATCACAATATATTTTAAATTGTTTCTGAATAGATAAGTTCTGAAATACTTAGTAGACCAGACATTGGCTAGAAGCTCTTTTTCAATTATAGATTATCTTGTCTCGGTCGTTGAGTGTACGACAACCGTAAACTACCAGAAGATCAGCATCATTAGTGTTTTGACTCAGAACAGCACCATGGTGTAGTTACTCGCATCTTTGGTTAATGTATTGCTTAGTGAAATCAGGGAAGTGTAGAATTGGGTCATTGGTCAATATTTGTCAACATGTGTCCAATACATTTATATAATCTGATCATGAACATCTATAATCGCGTTTTGTCTTTAAACATTTAGTTAAAGGTTTTGTTAGCTGGACAACATTTGGGATAAATTTTCAGCAATAACCAAGGATTCCGTGAAAACTTTTTTTTTGTTTCACAGTTTTTGGAATTGGATAGTTTAATATTGCTCTGACCTTTTCTAAATTTGGTTTTATGCCATTTTCTGTTATTGTGTGGCCCAAATATGCAATTTCGCGATTTTTCTATCTTATCCAACTGTATTTTAAAATTTGTCGGTCAGGGTTTGTTTGTAAGCAATAAATCCTTCCCTGTTCACTATTCCTATTACACTTGTAAAGCCAGAGACAGATTAATCATATCCGTGAACAGGAAAGGTTCTTCTCAAATATAAGTTGTGTTTAACTAATAAAGTTCTTTTTAAAAAGACTCTCGTTTAGTCAACACACGTAACTGGCGCAGTCGGTAGGACATCGCAAAGGTTTTTCAAGGGAATATTGAAAACCAATCGTGTCAACGGTGAATTTGCTGCATCGGACCTGATGAGCATGATGAAATTTAGTTTGTGAGTAGGAAATTATTGTATTTTATAACAAATTAATTGTTTTTAATTGTAAGCGTTTTGGGTATTGTTATAACCTAATTAAACTTAAAAATTATAACTTTAATATAATTGTATAATTATAACTTGTTGAAATGCCCAATTTTGCCGAATTAAAATTCATGTTGGATGCCATCCCTAACTTCGATGGCAATCCGAAAACACTGACACAATTTATATTAAAAATGGAAGAAGCACAAAACATTGTATCTTCACTAACATCTCCTTTAACAAACATACAAAAATCTATGTCCTTCATACACATTAAAAACAAATTAACAGACAGAGCGAACGAAGCCCTTAGGAACATACAATTTGCAAACTGGGATGAGTTGAAGCAGTTTCTAATCAAAGAGTTTGGTGATAGGAAAGGACCGGCCAGCATTATCCTAGAGATAATGCAGATCGAAATAAAAAATCCTTTCAGATCTTTAAATTTAATAAAAGAAAAGTTTGACTTGTTCAGAGCAAAAATACTTATGGAAAAGGGATCAGATGAACAAAAAGCCTACTTGATAGAATTTCAAGAAAAAATTATAGCCACAAATTTCGTCTGTTCATTAAAAGACCCCTTGCGTAATAATCTAGCAACTAGAAACCCACAGACATTAACTGACATAGAAAAACTATTATTAAACGATTTTCAGTACTTGCGCGACAACAAAAAAGACACATCGCAAAAATTTCGACCACCATTTAATAAAGGGACACTTCATAACTTTCCAAAGAATTTCAAACCTAACTTATATATATTTAGGTTTTGAACATTTGTTTTATTTTCGCAGGTTCTTTTCATGAAAACAAAACTAAATCCTCAAATCTAATTTATGGATTATAATACATACTTTCAACCGTTATCTTTATGTTAACGCGTAACATGAATACAGTTTGACGGGAGTGAAGCATATGCGAATGCACGATGCAGCGATGGTTTTGGAGATTTCGTCTTGGAGATTTCGACCTCGAAGACAAGGTTAGGTCGCGGTAGGTCTTCCATTATGGACGACGAACAACTCAAAAAGGTTGACGGAAGAAAATTCACCTAAGACAACATGGAAAATTGCGGAAGAGCTTAGTGTTGACCACTCAACCGTTGATCGCCATCCGGAGCAAATTGGAAAAGTAAAGAAGCTGGACAAGTGGGTATAGCACAACTGACCGAAGCCCAAAGAAATCGACGCTTTAAAATTTGAACCTCACTTCTGTTGTGCCACCAAAACGATCCATTTCTCGATCGAATCATCGATGAGAAATTGATTCTGTACGAGAAAAGGACATGTCAGTGGTTGGACAAGGATGAAGCGCCAAAACACTTCCCGAAACCAAATCTGATCGAAAAAAGATCTGGATACTGTTAGGTAGTGTATTGCTGGGGTTCTTCACTGTAATTTCCGGCATTATGGCAAATTATGGTGAAGCGGCCGATTTTTCTTTACGATAACCCCAGGCCACATGTCGCAATGATAACCCGGCGGAAACTTAAGAACTTAGGATGTGAAACCTAACCGCACCCGATCTCTCCCCTACAGACTTCCACTTTTTGCGGCATTTTGATTACTTATGGAGGGATAAAAATTTTTAGAAAACGCTGTGAAGGCGAAAATGCCTTCCAAGACTTTATTGTGAGTCGAAATAACGATTTTTATTCAGCGGAATAAAAGCTCTTATTACACGGTGTCAACTACAAAAAATAAACCATTATTTTTGACCTTTTATACAGCTTCCAGATGAATGCGCTGAACCGAATGTAATCACAATTCTAAAATGTTTTACAACTAAAATTGATTTTCCCGGTCTAAAGAACGCAAATTTTAAACTCTTTGGTAATAATTTTGTTTGGTAATGTTTCTGTATGTTAAACTTGAAATACATCAACATTAATCATTATTGCAAACAGTTGAAAGTTCAACGAATGACAGATATTATTATAATTTGTTCGCGGTTTTCTAAGGTAGAAATAGCTACACAATACCACCATATTTCTAATTATTATATAATGTTTGTTTTTAAAATACATCAAAATAACGTCCGCTTAAAAAATTTTAATTGTAAAACTTGATGACTTAATTGTGTACGATTTTTTCCGCTTTGCTGCTATGAAGTATCGCAGATATTTGCAATATATTTTTTGCAATATATATTTTGATATATTGCAGATATTTTTCTTGTCCTCTCCACCCCGAATTATATCCTCTTCTTGACGGGTTTTATGAATAATCTATCGTATAATATCTTATCCTATCTATCAACTTCTTCAAAGCTGGCTCACATGCCAAAAACGACTTCAACATCTTCCTTTTTTTAATTCAGTCGCAAGGGATAAAAATTTCTTACAAACATTCTGAATGAGATTACAAAGACGTATGAGAATACATAATTGCAAGTTTTCATTTATTTCTGTTCTTATTTATACTAGAGCACGTTTGAATTCTTGCAAACGATTTTACTTTCATAGATTTTGTTAGGTCTGATGTATTTGTTCTTATCAAAACTTTTGTTGAGCTAGTTTTTCAACTATTTTTTTTTCTATAACAAATTATGCTCGATTTTTGCTACTACTCTCGACGAGGGACGTTGCTTGTCGGCACGCCTAGAGAGTGAGATACGAATAGCTTTTGGATATGCAATGAATGTCGACACTGTGAAGTTACTTTTAATATATTTGTTTTCTGCTCAATTAGTTCTCGAGAAATAACAAGTTTCTTTTTCTCTCTCTTTTTTCATATTTCCTTTTCCATTTTATTCGCAATCCGGCTTCTTCCTCAATCCTAGTAAAGTGTTATTATTATTTAGGAGTATTCACGATCTTTGTGTTAACTCTGTTAGGTCGTGTTAGACGGAGAAAAATGATGACGTAGACTGGTAAGAATCGGCTGGTTTACATTGCTCGATCTAACATTGGTCCTGGCCTGTAGTCACATTGCTATTCGTTAGGGTAGGTAATCAACATGGCGGTCATAAAATTGACAATTGTTTTTTATTTACACGTATTTTTATTCTTAAGTAGGGTTTATTAAATCAGTTCAATATATTTCTTTTGTTAATTTTTGACCTGTCCTTATACTCTCATTGAGAGTAGATAAATCCCCTACTCTATAAAGTTGTAGGTAGTTAGAGGTTAGGATACAAGGTAGATATGTCAGCACGAGTTGAAGCGTGTCATTTGTTAGTACTTTACGAGTACTTGATAGCATTTTGAATGAAAGAGTTGATTAATTTTCCTTTTTCATTAATTTCGAGCACGTTACAATTTAACACAAAAGAAAACCAAAATAAACAACAAAAACAACAACTAGTTTTCAAGGACTGTTATACCTTTCTTTTTGGTTCTATCAATCACGACGCGCAGCATTGCGGAAAATTTAACGTTTAAAATGCTAAGAAAATTCGCGGGCATTCACGATCTTACTGGACATTTCTTTATTCGAGTTAACCCGGGTTAACATCTGACAAACATCGTGAATACCCTTTTTATATAGTTAT